TTTTACCTTAATTACTTATAATAAGTATATTTAAGGTCTTTTCGTAGTACTTTACTACTTATTATTATTCCTTAGATTTACTAAGTACTAGATAACTTTTCTTATACTAATAAAAATATAAATTATATCTTATTTCTCTCTAAGGATAGCTTTTTATAAGATATAAAGATATTAGATTAGTTATAAGACAAACTAATAGAACAGCCACTTCCTTCTATATTTATATATATTACTCTATTAGTAATATATATAGTATATATAGGCTTAGGCACCTTAGTTTGAGAAGATAATTATAATACCCGCTATAGGTCGCGTAATCGCTTCTTATAATCGTAAGTATCTTAAGCTTATTCCCTCGCTTAAGGCTTATCTTAGGGACGTAGGTCTTAGGTTCTATTATAATAGTTTATATATATAATATATAATTATATATATTAGTCGAATCGAGTATATCGAGTTCGTAGTCGGATAGTTATAAATATAGAGTATTATAACTCTATTCGTAACGATATAATACCGGAAGTAATTATATTCGAAAGATAATTAGGCTACCGGGCTTATAACCTATTAGGTTAAAAGGTATATATATATATAAAGTATATATAGATATAACGTAGGGAGAATAGCGGTAATTATTATAGTCGCGAGACTTAAGGTTTAAATATAAAAGACTTAAATTACTTAGAGAGAGAAGCTATCTACTTAGAACTAAAGAACCCTTATATAGTAGAAACCTTAACTCTAGAAGATTCTATTTATTAGAAATTAACTAGTTACTATTATTAATATTAATAAGAATATTAGTAATATCCTTATTCTAGAATATTCGCTTAGAAATTAACTTTACTATCTTAGTAATATATCTTTCTAGAACATTCTATACTTACTATAGACTCTTTATAAGTACTATAGTATAATATAAGTATTTATTACCTAATACTTATATTTATTAGAGTTATAAATACTATAGTAAAAATCTACTTATAGTCTAGTTTAATTTTCTCTTCTAGGACGTACTTTACTCTAGTTCTAGAGCTTAAAATAAAGATCTCTCTATTCTTTTTATCTATCTTTATATTATAGGCTACTATCTAGAGTATTCTAATTACTATATTCTTATTATCTATTCTTAGAATAATATATATAAAATATCTAGACTTATAGTAGCCTTCTATATCTAGAGAGAAATACGTAATAGAGTCTACTACTTCTTTATATCTATTAAAAGCTACTATAGCTTAAGATAGAATTTAATAGTATAAGAGTTTATATTTTCTTATAAAGCGAGAATTAATTATACTATAAGTAAAATATCTAGTATTAATAAGAGCCTTTATATTAATTCTATTAACTAATACTAGTATATTAAATACTAACTTATTTATATTATTTTTAAAGTCTTTCTATATATTATAGTCTAATACTTTCTTTAATTACTTCTAATAGTAGCTATAGTTAGAAGCTATTCTTTTCCTAATACCTTACTCTCTTTACTAGAGTCGTCTAGTACTAAGCTCTCTTTATTCTTAACCTTCTTCTTAATAACCTTACCTCTTACCTCCTTACTACTCTTAGTTAAGGTAATAGCTTTCTTAGTTATCTTCGACTTAGGCTTTATATTACTAGAGTAGTTATTCTTTAGGACTACTTTATAATTAGCTATAAAGTAATAGTTAGATCTATACTATAAATAAAGGTTATTATTACGTCGTCTTATTTTTTCTTCTTTATTATACTAAGGTCCTTTAGATCTTCGATTATACTACCTACCTTTCTTATATTAAGCGCTAAATACCTTAGCTAAGACTTCTTAGTTAATATCTATTAGTTCGCTATACTTAGATTACTTCTTAGAAGAACTCGCTTATATCTTTTAGTATAAATAGTAAGACTTTAAGTCCTTAACTATTTATATATTCTCCTAGATATTACTTAGTACCTTATAGTACTATTAGTAACTAGGTAGTTCGACGATAGTTACTATCTAATCTAAGAGTTTACTATTAAGCGACGTTCTTAGAAGGTTCTTTTTAACTATATCTTTCTATCTCTAACTACTAGCTTCTAAAATCTATTAGTTTATCTAGATAATATATTCTTAGAGTAGCGTAAAGCCTTACTTTATACGTCTAAGGGCTTTACCTACCTTCGTAGCTTAGTATTTATCTTTAAAGGCTAAGTTTAGTTAGTTAAAAAATCTATTAACTATAAACTCTAGGCTTCTCTTAGTATACTCGATCTATAGATAGATTACTTATACTACTTTACCTATTAGATAACTAAATCTATACTAGACTTAGTATTTTAGGTCTCTAATTATAGCCTTATTAATTATAAGTTTCGCTTTAAGCTTACTTACTTATTAAGTATATAGAGTCTTATCTTTACTATTAAACTTCTCTACGTCTAGTAAGCTAGCCTTCGGCTTTCTAGCTTTCTATACCTCTATAGAAGAAGAAGCGGGTTACTAATTAAATATTATAACTAGAGAGAAAGGTATAGCTAGAATCTATAGCTAGAGTCTAGCTAGAGCTTCTAAGATATTCTTTATCTAGGTATTAAGTTATTAAGCTATAGTAATCTAGGCTTACTCTATAGCTTATTATACTTATTCTATACTTACGACCTAGGCCGCTAGCTCTCTAATCCGACCTTTACTCGACTAGTTACTCGCTACTAGCTAATTAAAGATAGTTTAAATATTATTCTCTATAAGTAATAGTACTACTAGTTCTTCTAAAGAGTCTTCTTCTACGTTACCTCTTATATTATATATTCTTCTATCTATTACTTCTTTATTATTATTATAGTAACTATCTATAAATTTATAAAAACTCTCTAATAAGCTCTCTAATATTTACTACTATAAAGTCTTTTCTTCTATTATCTAAGATTCTTAGGTAGGTAAATAACTTTTAAGTAAAAACTCTAATTCTACCGAATTTACTATATAATCTCGATAACTTTATAGTTTAGAGTTTTCTTACTCTATTTATATTTTAAGTTATATACTAGCTACCTAAATATTATACTATTATCTAATAGGTCGATTAAGCTCCTTACTTAATTGTTGTCGTCGAGTATAAGGTACTATTATAGTTTCTATATTTCTAAACTTATATACTATTATACGTCCTCTAATCGTAAGATAAGAGTAAGTAATTATATTATTATAGGCTAAGCCTTTAGTTAAAGTAGTAGAGTTATTTATAATAGTTTAAAATTACTAAGAAAGAAAGAAAGAGGTAGAGCCGTAGCTCTCTATATATATATACTATAAGCGAGGTAAGTTACGTATATACTTTACGTATATATACGTAACTCTAGTGTAGGTAATACTAGGTACTACCTTCGGGTCTAACCTATTATAATTTATTAAAAAGAGATTTTTTAATATATTAAGTTAATCTTCTCTTTTCTTTTATTTTCTTATAGTATACTTTCTTATAAGCTTAGTCTCTAGTATTTATTAGTACTAGTAGACTTTCTTAAGAGCTTTATATATTTATTTATTTATTATTTCTTATTATATATTTTTAGTTACTAATATATCTATACTAGTATCTAGTATTAACTAATTAAGTACTAAGCCTTATATTATATTTATATTTTAATTAAACTTAATATTATAGAAAAGTAGTATATATACTAAGGTTTCTTAAAGAATATAGTAAGTTTAATAAAGAAGAAAGTAGAAACTAGACTTACTTAGACTTATACTCTATATAGAGTAACGCAAAAAAAAATACTAATAAGCTTAGTATTCGATTTAGGTAATTTATATACGTATAGAGTACTTTCGGCTAGACTTAGTTAGGTCTATATAGTACTATAGTATCTAGGTACCTTAGATACCTAGGTACTTACAGCTAACCTCTATATCCGGCACTAGATACGTAACTCTACGTCGGCGACGTCGCGGACGTTACCGGCGTAACGTCGTATAACGTTATAAGATACGGGCCGCGGATAACGTCGATAAAAGAGATATACTACCTTAGTTATAGATTATACAAAGTACCGCGAAGCGCTATACGGCGCGGAAAAATATTTTTGTAGATACTATATACTATATAATAAATATTATATTTTATATTATATCTATATTTAAATTAAATCTAATATTATAGAAAAGTAATATATATACTAAGATTTCTTAAAAAATATAATAAGTTAATAAAGAAAAAATAAATAATTAACTTAAACTTTAGTATTTATTTATATATAAATATTATTAAAGAAGTAGACTTAAAAAAAAAGGTAATACTTTAGTAAAGTTTAGTAAATATTAGTAGTATATATAAATATAGTAAGTACTATATCTCTAGAGCTAACTTCTAATATTAATAGTTATTTAATAAATTAATAGTAAAAGAAAATATTAGTAATTATTATATAGATTAGTTAATTTAACTTTAAAGCTTACTAATAAGTAAAGTTATTATTTACATAAAAGAATATTTTTTTCTTAATTTTTACTTCTTTAAGTAATAATATATACTTTATATATATTTTAAGTTATATAGTCTTAATTATATAAAATTTCAATTTAATCTTTCTCTAAATAATAATCTATAAAAATATATTAATAACTTTATAGAGCTCTTCTTAATACTCTTAAGTATATAGACCTAGCTCCGGACTACGCGCTACTGTAGATACCTTGTAAGCTGTTACCCTTCCGCCCGCTCGTCGTTCTTTTCTCTCTAGAGGTAGCTATATTTCTAGACGCAATGATATCAACAAGCAGTCTTCCAAAAGGAACTGCAACGGATCCCCAAGAGCCGCCAACGTCCTCCACGAGTGCTGCGACGCTTTTAATCGGTCTTCAGATTGGCTCTAGAGCACTTACGTTTCTCGCCAACCAGCTCCTACTGCGCTATCTGTCACCCGAATTGCTCGGCATATCGACCCAGCTAGATGTGTACTCGATGTCAGTACTATTTTTTGCCAGAGAGGGGCTTCGAGTAGCCATTCAAAGGAAAAGCGGCGAAATACAAGGCGGCCCGCAAACCCAGCGCAAGACGTTGCCCAAGAGTCACGTGGACGCCGAGACAACTGCTGGCAAGATACAAACCGTTGTGAATCTGGCTTACATATCGATATGCCTCGGTTTTGTTTTTACGGTTCTCCTCGCCTGGTTATACCTCAAGGGGATTGAAGGGTCGGCGGTCCAGGACACACCGTATTTCGGGGTTGCGCTGAAAATGTACGGTGTGGCTGCCATGTGTGAACTCCTTTCCGAGCCATGTTTTGTCGTAGTTCAAACCAGATCAATGTACAAAATCCGAGCCAGAACGGAAGCCGCAGCCACTTTGATGAGGTGCCTGGCGACTTGTGCTTCTGCGGCATGGGCATTTCAGCTGAATCAAGACTTAGGGGTCTTGCCATTTGCTGTTGGGCAGGTGGTATACGCGCTTGTCTTAATTATCCTCTACTATTCAAGCTTTCAAGGCGTTGCATCACAAATCGGATTTTCGTTGATGATCAGACCAATATTCTCAAGGTTGGTACTCCTTGGCTATCTCACGGTACGAGGCTCACACGAACAGGAATGATTCCACCTACGTACTTTCGTATTTCTCACGACCTCTGCTGATACTTGGCGCCAGTATATTTGTTCAGTCAATTGTCAAGCATATATTGACCCAAGGAGATACTGTCCTCATTGCGGCGCTTGCCACACCAGCAGTGCAGGGCACATATGCCCTCGCTAACAATTATGGCGGACTACTTGCTCGGCTCATCTTTCAACCAATAGAAGAAAGCAGCCAAAATTTCTTTGGTAGGCTTCTGTCTACAGTCGACGGTATACCAGCAAAATCACTTGTCCTAAAGGCGCAGCAAAACCTAGCGAGGCTTCTCAAGTTATATATCCTTCTGTCGATCGGCATAGTTTCAGTGGGTCCAGCAGTGGTCCCGTTACTGCTGGAAATCGTCGCCGGGCCAAGATGGACCACCTCTGGTGCTGGGAGTGTCCTGGCAACATATTGTTATTACATTCCCTTTCTGGCGGTGAACGGGATAACAGAATCATTCGTTTCATCCGTGGCAACTGAGTCTGAAGTATACCGACAATCTGTTTGGATGTTTGCATTCTCGATTGGTTTCGCGTGTGCAGCATATGTGTTTCTGGGCGTGTTGCACATGGGTGCTCAAGGACTTGTGTGGGCTAATGTTTTGAATATGGCTTTTCGGATCATATGGAGCACTGCATTCATTCAAAGATATCTGACACATAACGGGACTAGTTTAAGGTTCTCCGAATTATTGCCTTCGCCGCTGACCATTAGTGGTAGCGTCATAAGCTACTCGATTTTGACTCGTCTGGGACACGAGTCTGAAAGCCTGTTGCGGAGTCTTACAAAAGCTGGCTCGATAGTGGTATTATATGTAATTATATTGTACGTTCTACGGCCTTTGACTAATAGTAATCTAATTGGACAAATAGTGTTATCGGCGAACGAAGGTACCTATTTGATATTTTCGAATCTTTCAAAGACCGTACAAAACAAGGCTAGCATATCCATTTCGATATCAGTCGAACTTTATCTTCTGCGCTACTTTATCCTCGCTGCCGGTGTCCTTGTAAAACGCACCGTAGGCGCTGTGCTCCTTCTTCTTCACCGTCGTACCGAATTTGAGCAACTCGTCCGGGACAGGTTGATTTGCTGCCTTCAAAACGTTAATCAGACTGAAAGTAATGAGTCAGTAATGGTTTTCAATGTATATATTCTCAAGTTCAGAACTCACGCTCCACTTTGTGCTTTGTCATGCTCGGTGAAAAGTGTAATTGCAAGTCCCTCCTTTCCTGCGCGCCCAGTACGTCCGATCCGGTGGACATAATCTTCCACAGTGAGTGGGAATGTACAGTTAATCTTTTGAGAAGTCAGCCTTCTCCGCTATGTTGCCATGTAGAATTTATAAAGGATTACCGACCACAAGCTTGACCGCAGGAATATCCAAACCTCGAGCTGCAACATCAGTGGCCACAAGAATTGGTGTGCCACCCTGCTTGAAAGCCTCTAAACTTCTCGTCCTTTGCTCCTGGCTCAAATCACCATGAATTCCTGCGACTCTGAACCCTTTTGATCGAATGAAACCCTCGACCCTAGTTGCCTCTTTCTTATAAAGGGCGAAAACCAGAATCCTGTCGTCCTTTTGCGCACCGCTTTGGTATTGTTTGAGGAGTTGCATGAGACGATACTCCTTATTCCTAGGGTCAACCACTTCAACTTTCTGCACAATTCTTGCGTTGGCTCTAAGATCTCCTGTTGGATTATCCCCAATGGTGATGCGCAATGGTGTCTTCATAAAAGTCGAAGCAAGAGCACGAACAGACTCGGGCCATGTTGCCGTGAACATCAAAGTCTGTCTTTCGGTGGAGGTAGTGTTGATGATCTTTCTGATTTCTTCTTCAAATCCTTTGTCAAGCATTCTGTCAGCCTCATCGAGCACGACATACTTTGCCTTACTCAAATCTGCACAGCCTTCATTTATTAGATCGTTCAAACGGCCGGGGGTGGCAACCACGATATCAGCTGTCCGAAGCGCTCGCCGTTGTTCATCTTTTGGAACACCTCCGTAAACACAGACGGCCTGGAGCCCCGAGACCTTAGCAAGTAGCATAACTTGTTCATAGCTCTGCATTGCTAGTTCTCGGGTAGGCGATATAATGACGGCTCTGGGGCCTTTGTTCTTTCCGCCCGGCAGAGATAAAATGTGACGGGCACAAGGCACTGCAAATGCCATGGTTTTCCCAGACCCGGTCTCTGCGACCCCAATCAAGTCCCTGCCAGCAGAAAGATATGGCCATGCTGCAGCCTGTATAGGTGTCGGCGCTTTAAAGGACTTGAAGGGCGTTAACTGCGCAGCGTTGTCAGATGGTAGATAAGAAAACTTTAAAATAGGTCGTAGGTTTGTCTTCGAAAGAGGGTCTTTGATCGAGATGAAATTGTCTGCGAGGAATTTGTCTATTTCTGCTTGAGGCATGGCGCTTAGTTCAGCATTTTCGGTATACAGCGCGGTACCATTTGAAGCACTCTCATTATGCACTGGTAAAATCGCAGCTGAGAGACCTTCGCCATTGCTAGCATTAGGATCCTTGTTCATCTTCTCAGCCTTTTTCAGTGCGTTTGACTTTGCCTTATCCGCTTTTTTCGCCGCCTTTGCATCCGTGATTTGATCTGAGGCTTCCAACTCCTCTTGATGCGCGATGGGATTAATTGCCTCGATGCCATTGTGCGGTTTTCCCTCGGTCTCAGTCTCTCCCAGTTTTTTCATCCGTTTCAGCCTTTTCCTCTCCTTTCGCTCTGCCTTGGTTTCCTCGACGCTGTCGACGGTATTTTCCTGCTCTGTGGCCTCTTTGGCAGTTTTGGCCTTTCGCTTCTTCTTGCTGTGGGCGAGGTCTGGCGTAGAGACCTGGGCACTTTGATGATCCATCTCCTCGAGCGTTCGTTTCGGCATTTTGAATTGTGGTTCAGCGAGCTTGATGCGTGAGATTAAAGTTGCCGTTTTTTTTTATTTCCGATAAGGACAAAATAATTTTCTTATCGGCAATCTAAGATGGACGCTAGCGAAATCGCCGAAAATTGTCACATACTGTAACGGCAGCGCACGTTAACAATCAAAGGTTATGAGCAGCTTTATAGAAAAAACGCAGAAGCACGATGGCACAGAGACGGATTGATACGGTTAAGGTATGATCTTGCAGGTCGTATGTAATGGTTATCTTCGCATTCAAAAAAACTACCGATGCCAAGTGAGGGCGCTATGTACAACAAAGTTGGGGTCTCCATCATAAGATCGCGCTGATATCCGTTACTCCATAAAATATTAAATGAGAGTGGCCATTTTCCAAGCGATTTACACCCTTCAAGCAGTCCGAAAAACGAAATGCTATTTCTCCCTCATTTTAAAATACACTTAAAATTTCTTTGCTCTAATCATTCATCCTCAAGCCGCGGCAGTGTGCGAGGATGCTGGTTCCATAACAGTCTCGACATCAATTTTTGGCATCGCCGCACTCGTACCTCCAAGGCTTGTAGAGCGCGCATTTGGGTTTTTTGTGTAATAATTGGATATTGCTGATTTGATGGCATCCTCTGCAAGCATGGAACAATGAACTGATATAATACGTTTGTCAGTTCGGTCTTCATCATCAACCATACGTTCTCTGACACTTACGTTTTACGGGTGGAAGGCATAGTTCCTTTGCGATCTCAGTATTGCGAACTCGACTAGCTTCCTCCAAAGTCATTCCTCGGACTAACTCTGTGAGATATGATGACGAGGCGATAGCAGAGCCACAGCCAAAAGTTTTGAACTTGACGTCAGATATAGTGTTGTTGGATGGATCGACTCGAATTTGCAATTTCATGACATCGCCACATGCTGGAGCTCCAACAAGTCCTGTTCCTACATCGGTATCGGCTTTCGACATACTGCCAACGTTGCGCGGCTTAGAATAGTGGTCAAGCACCTTTTCATGATACAGTCGTCGCCCAGTCACACTGATCGGTGTGAAATCGATGGTAGAATTGGGTCTCGCAACAGGTCGAATTGAAGCCGATAGCGCTCGACCAGTCGCGCGGGGTGTGGCGATCAAAGCTCTGCGAAACATGGCGGAGGAACGAGGTGAGTCTCTTGTACGGTTCGGTTGGGTTTATCGAAATTCCAGTGATAGAAGATGGCTAACCTTCTTGGAGTTGTTCGTGATGTGAATGAGGTGTGCTCAGGATGTATTTGATCGTTGTCGTTAATTTTGACATTCTATGACGAAGACCACTACTGTACTAGCTCGGTGATCCGCTCACTAAAAGCCGGCCGGGTCCCCGGTCCTTTGTGGCAATATCGTTTTTATTAGAGCGGTGAGGCAGTTAACCTTACAAGGTTAATTTTTGCCGCTCAATCATTCCGATTCACGAATGTATGTAACATACGCAAAGCCAGTAGCGTCAAATAACAAACCGATGTGGCTCGAAGATATCCATATATCACCATCTTTGCAGCGTTTCGGCGAGCGTTTTGACATCGTGGGGGGTTTCTCAAAACAAACCAACAAAGCTCGTTGGTTCCATGCTCCCGTTACCAACATACATTTCTTTATCGGCCTCCATTTTCTCTCGACAGACAGAACATGCACGCACCCATGGCACGCCCAATCTACTTGATCGTGTTCCACTCCCCAATTTTCCCAGCTCATTGGGCAAGTAAATATGTCCTTTTCCTCGTTCTTCCCTCGACGCTGTTGTCTCTAGTAGCCAAGAGGCAGACTGTAGTTATTCATACGGCGACAGATCTCGGCTTTAGAAAATACAAGAAAGTCAACGTATACTGACTTGCTCCAGTGTGGATTCCCCAGTTCGTGGAGGGCGCTGTCGGAAATACTGGCAAGACAGTCAATGTTCAAGGCAGCCCAAGTGAAGGGTTTGTTCATGAAATTGACAGAAATTATGACCTTACCCTTGAGACGCGCCGCTACTCGACAATATTTCTTTGCAACATCTTGTCCAGTAGTATGCGACCTTCCCTTTTGTGTTTGTCTTCGGCTACTCAGCCTGCCGTCTTTAATCATTGGGGGAACATGATCCTAATAGTAGCCATATAGGCGGCTTTCGGAGCCCAAACGAGCGACATTAACTATACTAACTTGTTCCAGTGGTCGTGGATAGCGAGGAAGAATATGGTGGACAGGATGAACCAATAGATGACCTCGAGAAAGCTGCACTCGCAATCGAGGCCCCTGCACCGAGTCTCCGGAATGCATCCAAAGTGAGTAATGTCGTGTGAAGTGCCATAGAAACACAGTTGAAAACGAATGTTGCAGAGTTCGAGGACCAGAGTCTAAATCCACAACTGCCAAACCTGGCTGCATGAATTCATTTCAGTAATGGTACTAGAAGAAAAATTTCCTACGCAGGCTTTGGAAGTGCTCGACCTAGCACCACGCAACTAGTCTGTGTATACTTAAGTTTGTGTACCGAGCTTTTCAACTAGTTCGCCATACTTAGTTTGCCATACTTAGTTTCCTCTGTGGATGGTGTGGACAAGCTTTAACATCTTCTGTAAGTACCTACCTAGGTATGTATATGTAGGTATACCATTTGTTCTCCCAACATTTTGCACAGCGGTTGTGTCATGTGAGCGAATGCGGCTAATCATTCTACAAGACCAGATATTTAATATGCTTCTCAATAGGCTACAATGATTGGGATTTATCTGTATTATTTGTGGAGCTTGATACCACACACAGTGAGGGTTGCCCGACGCGGGCGCGGTGCAATGCAGCAAGCGAAATCCATAGCTGATAAATCGATGGCATTGTCCCATCTCACATTTGGCGAATCCTCATGGATAGGTAATAATGAATTTACAATTTTCGCTTAAACAAGTGTCCAGGCCAGGATTGATCATGCAAGTAAGTGTCTCGTTTGAAAACTGAAAAGACAATACACATTTCTGTCAGATTGCAGTTACAATTGCAGAACTACAACAATAAGAATATCATTGAGAGCAATTGTGGGTAAGGTATTCGAAGTCTCGATGTATTAATCAACAGCTTCTTTTCAGCTCAAAGGGAGTTCGATTTATCGTAAAAATTCATTTGCTTTCCATAGTGTGTCTCATAGCTCCTGTTCTCTCATACCATGGTGTTTATTATATAATTATCCTTACTTACCCTCATTCCAAGTCTCTTGTACTGGTATTGTTTATAAACAGCATCACCAGTTAGATGTAAGTGTAATTGTACGTATCCTTACTGTAAACTAACGACATATTCATATTAAGGAAGGATTCTTAGAAAGGCGATTTTAATGCATTATCATGCCGGTCCTACACAGTACCAACACAATAAAGGTTGTACGTATTAGATCTAGAGTAGAGAAACTACCCAAGCCAAGAAGCCATGATTACTTACATTGGGACCTCAACTCCAGAAATTGTTACAAATGAATGCAAAGTGATAAAAGTGTGGCTTTGGCGGTAGGTCAGGGTCAGGTACCGAATCTAAACAACCCCGCCATTCCAGGCTCCAGGTTGCCCAGGTCGGGTGCCCCTCACTTTTATTAGTCATCATTGCGACGCCCCAGGGCCATCCATCACAGCTGCCACCCCACTTCCTCGCGTCTACCTAGTTGTGGAAGTCTTTGTACGTTACAAACATCTTGCCATCCGCAACAGTGAGGCTACAAGCCTTTTCATTACTACCCCAAAACGTCCCGTTATTCTTGCCAACCATCTCAAAAACGAGATGTCTTGCACGCATATCAACTCAGCAGGTATGCATTCAGCTCCGACCTCTACGTGTACCTACGATTCGCCTTTTACAAACCGGATGAATTTTGCAAGTGAGAGCATAGATAATTGACTGGGTAAACAGAGCTGCATCCCCCAAATGCTGTCCAACCTGTGTATAGAGAGGACTGCACGCAATGCTTCGACTCCGTAGTAAGTAGGGTACTTCCTTCGTAAGCTGCGGAGCCGGGTCTGGACATATCTTGTTGACTGTCGTTAGGATGATCCTTTGGGTCTGGATGTTTGCCTTTATTGTTTTAATGGTGGCTGCACGGCGGATCGACAACATGGGGCTCTTCACTACACGACAAAAAACCATCCTCTGGTATTGAATATCAGAAGGACGAGAAGACCTCTCGTTAGGGATGAACCGCCACAGAAGATATCGAAATTGTCCATTGCGGCTGAGACTGAAGCGGACCGGTACGATTACACGACGGTAGTTCGATGCTATGCCTGTAATGTGGATGACGTTGACAGATCTGCTGGGCTGTTGCCACCCGTGGTTGAGGGCGTACTGAAGTCGAATGCGTTTTCGAGGCATGAAGAGATCAAGGCGTGGGAGTTAGAGCTTACAAGTTGCGAGCATATCTTGACCTTGCAACAAGAACCTGCTAGGCGAATCCAATCTCAGGATCTCGGACATTGCTCAATGTGCGACCTACAGGAAAACCTTTGGCTCTGCTTGGAGTGTGGCAATCTTGGATGCGGGCGCGAACAATTTGGTGGAATTCGTGGTAATTCTCACGGAGTAGCCCACATAAGTACTTCAGGTCACTCGACAGCTGTCAAACTTGGATCAATCACTCCAGATGGCACTGCAGATGTCTACTGCTATAAGTGTGACGAAGAACGGCTCGACGACGATCTCGGACGACACCTTGCTCACTGGGGAATAATTTTGGCTGACAGGGAAAAGACTGAGAAAACATTGACTGAAATGAACGTGGAGCAAAACTTACGTTGGGAATTCACCATGACCGACGAAGAGGGTCGGGAGCTCAAGAAGTTGTTCGGTAAGGACCTAACTGGACTAAAGAACCTCGGAAACAGTTGTTATCTTAACAGTACGCTGCAATGTTTGTTTGCTATGCCACAATTCCAAGCACGTTATTATTTGCCCGAGGATGATCTACCAGCCGTCGATGACCCGGCTCAAGACCTGGAAACACAACTTCGCAAGCTCGCTGATGGCCTGATATCAGGTCGGTACTCCAAGGCAGAATCAAATCGGGAGTCGGATGCTGCACAACCTCATGGTGATGAAGAGCCATCCTACCAAAGCGGGCTGGCTCCAGCAATGCTAAAGTATCTAGTTGGGAGAGGGCATGAAGAGTTCTCTACAATGCGTCAGCAGGATGCCTTTGAGTTTCTTCTCCACATTTTCAAGCTCATTACGCGCTCCAAGCATGTATCTCCACAAACAGATCCAACCAGTGCTTTCAGATTTGTTATGGAACAGCGACTGCAGTGCCTCGCTTGCAAGAAAGTCCGGTACAGAACGGATGAACAAGACAATATTTCGGTTCCTGTACCTATCCGTAGAATCTCGTCAACTGCTACTGGAGAGAGTGAGGCTCGAAAAGATGAATACGAAGCAGTGTCTTTGAGAGAATGTCTTGATACTTTCACGTCAGAAGAGCATGTCGAGCTTACTTGTTCAGCATGCGGCAGCAAAGACGGGTTCTCCAAACGCTCACTTTTCAAGACCTTTCCGGATGTTCTAGCCGTTAACGCTCGACGATTCGTGATCGTCAATTGGGTACCTACCAAAGTCGATGTTCCAGTTGTTGTTGGGGATGATACGTTTCTGCTCGACGATTACAGGTCCTCTGGACCTCAATCATCCGAGGAATTGTTACCTGACGATGGCAGCGAACGTCCTCTAGGATTCATTGCTAATGCAGATGCGGTACAACAGCTAGAGACAATGGGATTTCCGAAGAATCGGTGTGAAAAAGCGTTGCATGCAACGGGAAATTCAGGCGCAAATTCGGCAATGGAGTGGCTTTTTGCTCACATGGAAGACTCCGATATTGATGATCCATTAGATCTCAGCGGCCCTTCGGCTACATCTGTTGGACCCGAACCTGAAAAGATCGAGATGCTTGGGGCAATGGGGTTCGGACCACCTCAGGCTCGCAAAGCCCTGAAAGAGACTAATGGAAATGTTGAGAGAGCTGTCGAATGGTTATTCAGCCATCCAGACGATCAAGGAGAATTCGAGGATGACAAGTCTCCAGTGCCAGTTGAAAAAAATGCTCCCGGTAGCAGTGAGCTCCCTGCCAAGTTTCAGCTCCAATCCATAATCTGCCACAAAGGGGTTAGCATTCATGCAGGGTAAGTATTCAAGCTCCCCGTCAAATTTTTCAAATCAAGCTAATTATATATCCTCTCAGCCATTATGTAGCATTCATCCGCAAGGTGATTCCGGGAGAAGAGGTCGCCGCATGGGTTCTTTATAACGATGAGAAGGTTGTCAAGGCTGTCGATGTGGAGGAAATGAAGAAGTTTGCATATGTTTACTTTTTTCGGCGGGTGTGAGAGGCGTTAGATGTTCCTGGGTATAAATAGTATGCTCGTAGAGAGTGGACTGTTAATACAACCCAGTGGGATTTCAACGGTCTCCAACCATGGGTAAGAGCATAATACAGCGGCCCAGGCTCAATCAGACACAGTGGAGAAAAAAATGAAATGCTAAAGATGAATCTTCGAAGCGGCCGTAGCCGCCACATTTTGTTTTCTGGAAACATGAAATTCCAGTATGAGACTTCAGAACTTCTAATGGAGTTCCGAGTTTGTTAAATCGCTGAAGATTTCGGGTGTCAATTGCTTTCAGCCATACTACGTGCCTTATGGGACTCAAACATAAAATACAAGGCATAATTTTAACAGTATGGCGCTTTCCCATCACTCGAGGATCGTCGGCTATGAATGAATCGCTTATGAGTGGATCTCTGCTTCCTGTTTTCGCCATCTATCTATCTACCTTATACTTCTATCATGCCTTCGAAATGCGACAGGCCAGGGTATCTGTTACAAAATCGCTACCTGTAAATGCTCGCTTCCATTATGCCTTGCTTTCATTCCCACCCCAACTAAATCCGAAATATTACTCCTCCGACGCCCACCCGCATTTAACACCAAAAAGGAAAGGATAAGACGGAACCTGATGGTTGGATAATTGAAAGAACAAGATGCACGCGCGGATGAATATTAGAATAAGGAAAGGATATTATAATGCAAAGAGATATGAATACGTTATCCAGAAAACAAGCCGTTGAAGAAGATAAAAAGTACAATATAAGAAAAAGCTTCCAAGAAAATCCAAGCACATTAAGTATGTCATCCCTATCGCGTGCCAAATACTTTCTTGTCGACCCGACCACGTTATAATCCGTGTAACCCTTGAAAATGCATAAATGACGAAAAATGAGGATAGCGATACGAAATTGAACCAAGGAACAAGTGAAGGAAACACAATCCGATGCCCAATGGTACATACTAGTGGTACAAGTTTATATGAAAGACAGAAAAAGGAATTTTTGAGTGGGTGTGAAAGTGGCGTCAGAACCATTTGGCACTTCCACTTTTGGATATTTTTCGAAGGACTCCAATGCAGTCCACAAGCATGCTGCATCTGCCCCCGACATTTGCGCCCTCAATCCTCAGTCGTTGGCCCACAACTTCGAGAATGCTAGAGGTTTCACCCTTTATGGGGTTGCGGCTCTTGTGTAACTCATCAACACTCAACGCTAGCATGCCGTTGATATAAGCCCTGGCGTAAAGCTGGGTCGATTCGTCGGAGTTTTCGGTTCCTGTTATAGCGGATGGGGTATTTCGTGTAGAGTGCCCGCTTCTGTTCGTACTCTGAAATCGATGGCCGAACGCCCAGCATATTAGGGTCGCTACATACAAGCTCCAGTACTCACTCATACACACCAACGCGTTACTATCGCACAAACTTGAATGTTTGGGTGATCGTGACAGGCTAAGCGAGAGAATCTGGCATGCATGATGAGTAGCTTGCGCGGCGTTTGGTGATTTGGACCATGCTTGCAGCCGCCTTTGTGCATCTTGAAAAGCCTGAGGCGGGGTGACTTTCTGCGAAAAGATCCAGGTATCCGCAGCTACAGCCAGAAGATCGTGAAGAGGCGTTTGATGCAAGGCAAGGTAAGTTTGAGCCAAGGGCGAAGTAGTAAATGTGCTCATGTGGGTTTTAATCCCAGAGTCCAAAGGAAGTGATCGAAAAAGGTTCGGAGCTGTAAGGTGCTCACTGAGTGGTAGTTGCGTTGCCAAAAAACAAATTAAAAGTGACTGAGAAAAGGAAGAACCCGTAGAAGGATCTTGAGTAGATCCATTGTCATCGAAGGGATGGAGCATTGGAGTTGTTGAGTGGTCGCTGTAAAGTTTGTGCCAGTCCGATGCACTGGATGCATCCCAAAGAGTGTCAAGGCACGGTAGAGACAGAAAAGGCTGTGTCTCCCCCTTGAGTGCTCGTGATCTCGGTTGCTGGTGGTAGAGGGCTTGATGAACATCAAACATGAAACAAGCACTCAGCAGTCGCTGTTTGCTTTCTGTCTGAACCCAGTGTGACCATCCATTAGCGGGACGAGCCTGCTCAAGAGGCCGGGTGCTTTCGGAAAGACCAAAGCGATCACGCAGGTCCTTGACAGAGCTAACATCAACCGGGCTGGTGCAAACAGGTGCTTGAAAGGTCGGATCAGTGCGAGTGAGGAGCTAGTTTCAATCAGCCAAAGTCATCAACAAACCTAAGCATCTTGCATATTACTTACCCGGTGACAAAGATCTTCGAACCGCCTCGAGAGCTTCACGGTAGTTTTCCGCCCTCGAAAGCGACTAAATATCTCGGTGAGGAGGATTGCCTGCATGACCTCCAAATCCCAGTTCGGACACTAAGCGAAGGTTAGCGCAATCCTCGCCTCAATTCGATACTTATAGCAAACAATTTCTCGCTGGCCAAGTCATATTTCAAGATGACCGCAACAAGGGTGAGAGGAAAGCCAAACTCGTTGTTATGGGGAAGGTGTGGGGTGAGGACAGAGACTTACTTGGTCGATGCCTCTCCGGCAAAGCTCGTTCATTTCGGTACCTCTAATTCTTGCTTCGGGAGTATGGTGATATTGCGTGCCGATTGCAGCCATCGCAGTGGTAAGGAGGCTGCCTTCCACAGTGTTGTGAGTTGGACGGTGTATTACGGGAAATAATGGGTGGAAATCGAGCCAGTAACTATTTATGTACATGTCAAGTGTGTTGGCTTGATGCTCGGGAATCGGGACGTCGCAGCTGAATGTTGCTAATTGCTCCTCCGCTCGTGCGGTATTAGCGACTGCCAATCCGGCGTTGGGTACTCGAGAGGCTGCTGGAAAGACTTGAGAAATTGGTTTGCTATTCGTCGATGGGGCTGGAGTACCCACTGATTCCATTAAATACCTTCCATAAGGATTTGGCACGTCCAAGTGCTGAAGATGAGATATCGGCGCACCAAGGCGCTCATCATATTGATCCATGAAATTGAACGGGGGGCTATGGATATCCTGTGGTGTTCCTACTTGGGGCGACCACTGCGATGGTGCTGCTGAAACAGGCCAATCTGCTACGGAACCAGACCTTCCCCGCGGTGCCCAATGGCCTCTCCTCGACGGCTCGGATTGGTTCGAAAAAGTGCTGTCGGAGGCGGAAGAAGAACACCATGGGGAATTGTCTTGAGTGTACGTTGGCTGAGACGGGTATGGCTCATCTGGGATTCTTAGCATAGGAAGGCCTGAATTGCTGAGTGGTGAGCCTGCAGTTGTGTAATTGGCCGGAAATTGCTCTCCTCCAGTGCTGTATAGATCAAAGCCCGAATTCGTCCGGGAAAACATGTTACCTCCAACCGGAAGATCGGCTGCTGTGAAGCCTCCCGTGTGGGAAATCATCTGATCAAAACTTCCTATGTGTCTGCTGGACGGGGAAGCGACTGGGTATGAGTCCATATCTGTCAATTGGGCTTCCCTGGCACTCCTCTTGTGGGATCCTGTGGAACCCGGGGAATAATTAATATTCGAGAACATGGGCTGCGTTATCGTGCTGTTGCTTGACATGGTCATGGTCGTCCGAGGGGTAGAAGAGTCCGCCGCGGAATCTGGAGCACTTCCGAATCTCTGGTCCCCCATGGGTTCCGTTTTGATGGCTAGCGGTTGGCTTTCAGAGGCGCTTGAAGGTTCGCGGCTGCGATCTCCAGATACGTAGGCTTTCTCGCCCTGGGTTTCACTGTCACTTGTCAGCAGCTTACAATTGCGACGGCTGTCTGAGCGCCTACTGTCGGTGCATGTGACGCGCTAGCAAATCTGGTCTGTGAAAAGCTCTCTCGCAGTTTTCAAAGGTGCAACCATACGCTGGCTTCTGATGGCTTAATTGATGTCGCCTGGAAGCCGTTTCGTTAGCTTCCGATCTGAGGAGATGGCATCACCGGCAGCAGGTGACCTTACCTCAAATGCTCGGCTCTGGTGAAGGTCTTCGCCGGTCGGCAAAGACCGCAAGTATGAACGGGAACGCCTTTCTTTGCCCTGCTGATACGACCGGTGACTGGCGTGTACTTGACTGGAATGTCTGACCCCGGATCTGACGCTCTCGACATCTGTTGCGGTGTTCCTGAGCCACTGGCCGATCCAGTGCCCATGCCCCCCGAATAGCTCGAATACGAATCCATCTCTTGACCTGTGGCACTCTTGCGCCGGCCGGCACCCTGAGAAGTCTGTTGCAAACCAGTCGAGGTACGGTGCGAACGGCGACGTTTAATGGGATGTTCCCCTCCACGAGCCTCGGTGGTATGATGGTCGTCGTTGTCGTCGGTCGGAGGTGATATAGCTTCGGTTGATGTGGTGGTGGATGGTCGGAAGGAGGCTTGTTGTTGAGCGGCTTCCTTATTCCTTCTATAGGCTTGCGATTGAAGAGGCTCCACATCGACGTCCATTATATCTTTGATGCTCGACATGATGATGTTCTAATCGAAGAGATGTTGGATCCCTGAATGTTTGCACAGCCTGACTGGAATAGATGTCTGGTCCAGGGGCCGAAAAGTCAGCGCAGATGGGCTGGCTCTGGACGAAGCACACCAGATCTATGGTAAGAGCCGCGGGGGGGTGGGAGGTGGGAGGGGGGAGGGGTGATGGAGGGGGGGAGACGGGTAGGGCGCGGTGGGAAAGAAACCACGACCGCGGGGGAGGACTGGAACAATTGGAAGGGGAAAGGAAGTCGACGGGTGCGCAGTAGATGCACAAAAAATAGAATGTATCGCGGGGGGGCATTGCTGAGGGGTTGCGATTATGTGTGCAGGAAGAAAGAAAACGGTGGAGAGAGGAAGGAGACTGGTTTTGGCTTGTTTGGATGAGCATGAGCGCGAGTGAGAGTGAGAGTGAGAATTGCGCGTGGAGCGACCAGGATGGGCGACGACTACGGACGACCCATGAGAATAGGTACAGTAGGGACAGTCGGTACCATCCAGGATGGAGGAGAGAGGCACCCTGGTGCGGTCCCAGAACGACCAAGCCCGGCCCAAAGCGGACTAGTCGCGACGGCCTCTGCTATTTTTATGACCTTAAGCGCCAGAGGTGGTGTCGAAGTCTGCAGCGGTCTGCAGCAGGCTGCAGGTCGTTTGCGGAAGGGGTGTATGGGGCATCGCTGCTGCAGACTGCACCCGACTGCATCTTCTGCGTCTCGCGCCTGTGCAGTGGAGTGCCCGGGCGAGGATGGAGAAGGGGGTGTAAGTTGACAATCTTGACACCAGAAAGAGAGAAAGAGGGTAAGAAAGCACCAGGAGTAAAGGTACGGCGAACCTTGTCTGACGACGGGACGAGCCTTGTAGTCAAGAACCTTACTTAGCCGTGGGTAGCTTGGTTGACAGACGCGTGACAGATTGACAGATGACAGCTTCGCCAAACTAGGTGGCATCCAATACCTAACTGTAATGGGCATTGAAGATCCCACCATAGCCGCTTCCGCTTCTCGCGCTAAGTCCGGTCCACATTACATTACCTAATTACCTATCTGATCCGCTCCCTCGTGGCATCGAGGTGCGTGCCCTATAAGGCGTAACCGGAAGCCATCCCGTCGCAAATCTCCCAACGTAGTATAGCCGTGGTTGCGTCGGTGCTCGACCACGACTCTCAAGGTAGGGACGGAGTACTAGTCGACGACCACAACAATGAAACCTGTTATCTACTCATGACACCATTCCCCGTAATCCCATACAGAACCGCAGATCCAACCATTCTGTATGGATTGCTCTGCTTACAAGACGACTTCCAAGTATAATCCAGCTAGCGGTCGGAAGAGAACGAACCGACCAACGACTACCGCGCTGCAGCGAAAATAATAGCACACCGAGCGCGTCGAACCCATCAGAAGCGCCCGTCCAAACAAATGAGGCTCAAAAAGAGGGACGAGCAGACATCATAAGGTGAAGAGATCAGGTGCGTGATGATTCCAAATCCGGTCGTCGACGGACGGAGCACGAGACGGATTTTCGTCGCGAATAAGCGCCCCTTGGCTAAGGTACCTAGGATCATCTCGCGCGTGGCAGCCGAGATTCTTCAACCCCCGCCGTCACGTCAGCACTAGGGCACTCGAGGTCGATACTGGCCACAGTCTGCATTAGCTCAGCCATCCCACCTGCACCCTTCGCTGTCAGTCTAATTTTGGCTTTCTTCCATGGCCAACGCTGGTTTCTGCGCCTCACAGGAAACCTGGGAATAGCCTAGTGCCCGTACTCGCTGCTCAGTACGGTACCTGCCCTCAATTCCTACACCTACCAAGTAGCCGCTCGCTCTTCGCGATAACCTTACTTCAGTCGACCGCTGTCACACAGGAGCGAAGTCCTTCGTGCCCCGTCCCCGCCGTCCTGGTGTCGAAGTGGCATACACATCATCTCTCGGTGCGCTGCGCATGTCCATGCTGGAAACAGATGGCGTCAAAGACACCAGCCGCCGCGAAAATGGTAATTCCGTATAGTGCGAGGGCAACCGGGCATCCTGGATGGGCAAGATAGACCGCGAGCTCCGGCTACAGCACCTGTAATTTGGCATCACCTTAACGATGTGGTCACAACTCCTACCAAGGGGTGGCATGAACCAGGGGTCAACCAAACTGTCCGATTTCAAATTTAGGTTGTCCCTTGACCTGTCAAAACATCAACCCTCATTGGAGTATTCCCGTCGCTTGACGTCCCTCGAGCAGGGTCGTCGCGTGGCATCAATGCCGATGTTTGACTGTTGGTCTGACCGTTGCCGTGAGGTGGTTGCATCACACCTCAAACCCGCCCGAGATTCCCATCTCTTGTGATGGTATCATCGGCAGCTACCCAGTTGCTCGGTAAACCTTACTCCCTGTGGAACTCTGGAAGGTTGGGAGAAAGCTCAAAGAAGAACCCATGGCGTTCAGATTTCCTGTTCCCATGCCACCTGCAGCTTATCACCTCGTGGTAGAAGCCACCCCCAGAATAAAGTCCATATCTTGTCCTCACGATACTCATCAAGCTATACGTAGTTGCAATTCTCCGGCATATTCTATAAGCATCGCACTCTAGCGTGGGAGTGTGGCCGCTGGCGTATACGAGATAACCAGAGAAGCATAGACGACAAGCTTATGGGGAATTGGTACAACCCGACGCGGCGCTTCTACGATGAGTCAGCCGTTTCAGCTGAATTTCAACCCCCTTGCTGAGCAACTCGGAACCATGAGGAAACACTCCGTTCAGATTCTCGTTTCAGTGCGTAGCCGCTCGCTGTTGTGTCGCCAATTGAGGTGATGCAATCACGTCCTCATCATCGTACACAGGTGTACTAAGAACATAGAGATCACGACCTCGTTCTGGGGGGATATTCAATCCTGGATGTAGCCTCGTCCTCAATATACTAAATAGTCGCGAACTGATGGATTGGGTATGCTTAATACACATGGGAGGTAGTACCTATCGTAACTTGGTGTTAATCAATAACAGTTTGCGTTGCAGTTGCTTGTCAGTCCAAGGTTATCTCCAACGATCTTACTCGCTGGTACAACATTCGATCACAGGCACAACGCAGCATGATCTATGGGACGACTCGATCGGTAAATGGGCCCTCCCCAATCGGTGCAGTTCGACTATGCAAGACATTTGCAATGCCACCCCCGACTGATAAAGCCTCTCTCAGTTGAAATGGCCCCAATACTGTGCGGATTCTTTTGACGTCAACAATGCAGTGAATGTCTCTTCCGTGTTTATTTTTTTATTTTTTTAGGGAGCCGCTAACGCACGGTCGCCTTTTTGATAAAGCAAAGTCAAATAATATAATGAACTATAATTCCTCGGTTTCCTCCTACTTTAGAACATTTAAAGCTCGAATATATTATTACTTAATATATTAAGATACTTTTCGAGTTACTTTACGGCGATACGTTCCGAAATTAGATCTTAAAACAAGGTAGTACCACTTTAGGGTAATAAAATAGCGAAAAAATAATAATACTTTATTAGAATACTTTACGCGAATGTCGATTTTAATTCTAGACCATAAAGATTTAATATAATTCCTCTAAGAATCTAGTATATTAAGTCTATTATTAGCCTTGATCTTTTACCTTTTTATATTACGACTTTGCTTTATCAAAAAGGCGACTGTGCGTTAGCGGCTCCCTTTTTATCATGGCGCTCCAGCCCATACCGAAAGGAAAAGTCCTTCCAGCTGATGTATGTTCCACCAGAACGAAGCTCATGTTTGATGCTGCAATATACCTAAGCATCCAACTGTCATGCAGATAACGAATCTGGCCAAAGGGGGTCGGTTGTAACAACCGGACTAGGGTCGACATGCTTCCGAGTTTTGTCATCGCGATCGGAGATGGCAGAAATGTGAAGTAAGGTGAAGATGACCCCAAATGATTTTTAGACGCGGTTCCGACTCTGAGCTTGTAGAGAAAACTACCGTTGCAGTGCAGTATGTAACTCGATAAAGTGCCGTCGTGGTGGCTGGCATTGACTGCGCCTTAAAATCTGCTAACTGAAAAGATAAAGCCACAACTCAAAATAACTCATGGTGATAACATCCGCCAAACTCGGTGGACAGGTATGCAACATCGTGCAGATAGACTATTGAACAGAGATACTCAAAATAGATAAGAGTAGAAGGTGTCGAGATGTCAGAGGGGAAAATGGAAGTATGAGGGCGTTGTTCCTGCAGCGGACCAATGTTCTAGAAGAATACCTCGTGGCAGCTGCATTAGTGCCGTTTCCGTGTGAGAATGTGCTCCACAAGCCTCGTGGAAGCTTGTGCTGAGTGAGACAAAATGCTATCCAAAACCTGGATGGAACGATAGCTGGATACCTGGTAGATACGATAGAGAGCAGGACACTCACCGTCATAACATAAGACGAAGTGTGGTAGGAGAGCAATGATCGTAACGGCCTGTAAATCTGCAGTTGCCAAACGCAACAAGATGAGCTGATGAGAGATAGTCGTACCCAGTGATAAACTGCAATCTTAGCTGCTGGAGGTGGTGAAGGTGGTGCAGGAAGTAGGCTGATGTGATCAAGCTCTCGCGCCGGGTCGTTAGTCGTATATTTGACACGTTACGAGTGCGCTACTTCTAGCGCCCATATCGATAGCGGTTAGATGATAGATCTGTGAAAGAGCACATCCTCTCAGCAGTGCTCATGATGACAAGAGACGGAAGCTCTATCGACGTGTGAGAATACCTAACGATGAGATCAAAACCAGGGGAATGAAACAAACATGCTGTTGTATACCATTGTTAATTGGTGATGAGACGACGGTTGACGGTGTTGAGAAAATGATATCCAACCTGGAAGCTCTGCGACATGTTAATCTTCGGCTTGAGTAGACGGGTCTGACGTACGGGCCGACACCACCGCGCCGTTCCGCACCAGCTGCTCACGTGGCCCATCGGCTAGCAGTTGGACATTGAAGGTGGTTCTCTCCGTAGGGCCCCTCGGTGGCAATTCAAGGGTGCAATACCGCGATTAAACAAGGTCTAAGTGAAAGCTAGACCTAGGACCAGAACTAGTAAGGGACCTCTCAACTCTTGAATACCACGGTATAAAGGTACAATCGTTCAAAAGGCACGTGACCAGTTCGGCCTAAGCTCGACGACATGGAAAGCGTCGGCTTCGGATTGTTGTTCGTCTTCTGAAGATTAGTACGAGTAGGTACCCCACCTAAGGTTACCCCCCGTCCGTACAGCTCCCCTCCTTTCGAATGCAGGTAAAGCTTCGAAGCGTTTGGTCAACCACCCAACATCTTGCCCGTACGTCGTCTATCTACCAGAGGCGCCTTCCTTCCTTCCCGTCCTCTCGCGTCAACTTTGAGAAAGTCTCTCCCTCACGCGGTTACCTCAGCGAGTCCATTCGTAAACACCAAGCACAAAAAATGGCTCCTCAACTCGACGGCTTCTTCAAGCAGGTTGATACATTATCAGACCATTTTATTGACCGCCTCCGCAAAGCTGTTGCTATTCCATCTATTTCCGCCGAAGAAGCTCGTCGCCCAGATGTTGTACGCATGGGAGAATGGCTCGCAGACGAGCTGACCGCTTTGGGTGCAGAGGTTGAGAAGAGACCTTTAGGGAAACAGCCCGGAAAGGAGCACCTTGATCTTCCACCTGTTGTGATTGCTCGATACGGAAATGATAAGAACAAGAGAACAATCCTCGTATACGGCCACTACGACGTTCAGCCAGCAGGAATGGAAGATGGCTGGGCGACGGAGCCCTTCGAGTTGACGATAGATAGCAAAGACAGAATGTATGGCAGAGGTAGTACAGACGATAAGGGACCTGTGCTTGGATGGCTCAACGCCATTGAAGCCCATCAAAAGGCCGGTGTTGATTTTCCTGTCAACCTCTTGTGTTGTTTTGAAGGCATGGAGGAATATGGCTCAGAAGGCTTAGATGATTTCATCAAGGCAGAAGCAAAGAACTACTTCAAAGATGCAGATGCTGTGTGTATATCGGACAATTACTGGCTGGGCACCGAAAAGCCATGCCTTACCTATGGTCTTCGTGGCTGCAGCTACTACTCCGTCGAGGTTTCTGGACCCGGTCAAGACCTCCACAGCGGTGTGTTTGGAGGGACCGCCCAAGAGCCCATGACAGATCTCGTTCGTATTCTTGCAAGCCTGGTTGACACCAATGGGAAGATCCAGATTCCCGGTCTTGCAGAACTTGTTGCTCCTCTCACCGAAGACGAAAAATCATTGTATGGAGATATTGCGTTTTCTATGGACATGCTTCATGAATCGCTAGGGAGCACGACCTCTATCCATCCTGACAAAGAAAGAACATTGATGGGCCGATGGCGTTACCCGTCTCTCTCAGTCCACGGTGTTGAAGGTGCATTCTCACAACCGGGTGCCAAGACAGTCATTCCCGCGAAGGTTATCGGGAAATTTTCTATTCGAACAGTTCCAAACATGGAACCCGAGGATGTTGATCGTCTAGTTTTTAAGTACGTTGAGGAGCAATTCAACAAACTTGGTAGTAAGAACAAGATGAACTGTACGCTTCAGCATGCAGGGAAGTGGTGGGTTGCAAGCCCCAAGCACTGGAACTTCTCGGCAGCTAGTAAGGCTGCTGAGAGGGTATGGGGTGTCAAGCCTGACCTGACCAGAGAAGGTGGAAGGCAAGTTAAAGCATGTCTGAATTGGATTCTTTCGTTGACTGTTTCCTAGTATTCCCGTCACTTTGACTTTTGAGCAAGCGACTGGAAAAAACGTTCTTCTTCTGCCAATGGGTAGCTCCACTGATGCCGCTCACTCTATCAACGAGAAGCTAGACAAGAAGAACTATATTGAAGGGATTAAGCTCTTAGGAGCATATTTGCACTACGTTGCCGAAGAGCCAATGGATAAATAGGAAATTTTTATATTAAGTATCCACTATCTTTTCACGTTATGTTTTCCAAAACAATAGCAGTAGTCAATATGACGGTTGGCCACCTGCTCAGATGTTTTACAGATCTATCTGCCTGGTAAAAGCTGTTAAATGAACAATATAGTGCCAAACCCTTCTTAAGATGGAGACTTTCCGCCCCCACCATAATTAACAAGGTATCTAATATATGTCGGCCTTATCAAGTAAAGTAAGGGTGTATTTTACCACATTCACGAGAACCATTCCCTATAGTATTATGTTCTCATCAGTCTCTAAAATTTGTGAGATTTCACCATGCTTTCATACGGCTTCGCCGCAAACAACACGTTTCTGCTCCGTCAAAGGCACATCCATCGGGAAACTTCACTATAGGTTGCTTAATATGGCAACATGTCGATTAGCCAAGTGATTCATGGTCTATTTACTGTAGTAATTGGTTGCGACTATGGCTTGATACGAGTACATATTTTGGTATTTTCCCAAAAACCGCTCCGCCTGTGAAGCCCCTTTCCATGAAATTAGTTCATACTACGGCAACACATCCTAGCATAACACTTATTTGGAACTGGGTGCAAAGTTACCTTTCGGAAGTAGGCGGAAGGACAACGGTTCTTCTTACTCGAGAGTTGCTCGTATGACTCTGTTGCGACAGCATAGAATGATGGAGTAATTTTACAATACACTAGTTGCAGGCTCTGGTTTAATGTTGCACAAAAAAGCATACGTGCACAACAAGCACACAGCTGAATTATTAACACCTATGATCTACGCTTTCCAAAAATTGACCCCCCCATAGTCTCCCCCGCAAGATGTACACACGCTCATAGTGAATTCCCGCAACGAAAGATATGCATGCGAGAGGAAAGAAAGAATTAATGTAGTAGACAACCACGCCCTCATGGTACTAAAACGTCGAAACAACGAATCAAAATCGGTATCAACGGCACTCCTCCATATGTACCTCGCGGTCCCCTATCCCTCCACATTACACCTGGATTGGAAAGAGCACTTGTGATATCATACACTCGGAAATTGCTTTCCAGTTAATCAAACATTAACAACCTCGCCCCTAACTCGCTCTGAAGGTACAAGCTATCACTAGTTCTTTAGCTTGTCCTTGATCCTGCCGAATAAACTTCTGCGCTTGTTTTTCTTGTCGGTTGTAGAGGGAGCAGCTGGGCTCTCGGCAACCTTACTGCTGCCTGGTGTAGAGGATGTAGAGGCCGGAGCAGCGGCTGCAGGTTTGGCCTTCGCTGGGATCGCAGGAGCAGCTACAGTGGTACTCTCAGTGGTGGCTGTCGCAATACCAGTCGTCACGGTTGGCTGCGTCTGCGAATGAGAGCCGGGAATAGTGCCAGGAGAGACATCACGTGAAATATCTCGCGATTCTGGCTTGGCTGGGGTGGCTGGAGCCGCAAGAGTGTCAGTCGCTGTCTCGGCTACCGCTGGCGACGAGGTTTGTTTGGACACGTCTCCATCCTTTGCCAGCTCGTTAATCTTTGGTGCAGGTTCACCACTTGAAGTTTCTGGCTTGACCTCAGACAGTAATTCCCTTTCAATAGCCTTCTTTTCTAGAACGACTTCCTCATTTGCAGCTGCCTCGGGGTCTTGGCCTGATCTTGCGATAGACTCCTGAACAATCTCCGGAACATTCTCCGCAGTGGTTGCTTGAACTGATGCATCGGTAATCTTTGGAGCCGGCTCACCACTTGACGTCTCTGGTTTGACCTCGGATAACAACTCTTTCTCCATAGCCTTCTTCTCCAGTACAGCTTCTTCGTTGGCAGCTGCCTCGGGGTCGCGACCAGCCTCAGTGATGGACTCCTTGACAACAGCTGGAGTATCCTTTGCGGCAATGTTGTTGGCTGAATCAGTGTTAGGAGTAGATTCGGCGTTCATGGTGTTGATCGAATTTTGGACGGATTCCGGTAACTTGTTTGATACAGATGTGGGCAATTTGGTTGTGGCGAATGCGGCTCCTCCTACGACAGCAGCCCCGACAGCGAACGCAGCGCCCTTGACGGCGGTAGCAGCCTCAGTTGCCGAAGCACCGGTCTTCTCTGATTTCGTTGTACCTTCTCCTGCCGTACCCTCTGATGTTGACGGGGCCACTGGAACTTCGCTTAAAAGCTCCTTCTCGACCTCACTCTTTTCTTTGACTTCTTCAGGAACGGAGCTTGCCTCTGGTGCAAAGCCTGCCTCTTCCTGGCTCTCCTTAACAATTTCGGGAACTTTGTTCGATTCGAGTGGAACACTTCCAGCGAGTTGTGAAGTGGTACTTTGCGGTCCAGCTGACTGGATAGTAGGTGTGGCATCGAAGGAACCAACTCCTGTAGCTCCAATTGGTAAGCTTGACTCAGGAATAAGACTTTTAGAAACAGGAGGAAGGTCGAGAACGCCCGTGCCAGTTGAGTCCCGCTCAGCTTGAGGAGTAACCACGGGTGGGAGAACTGGTGGAAGCGCGCTGCTGCCCTCATAGGATTCTTTATCGGTATGAACAGCAGAAGAAATTGTGTTTCCGGTCAATGTACCGACCTCGGGAAGTTTCTCCCCAGGAGCAACATTGATCGGATTGACCGCTCCAGGGAAAGCAGGTAGAGGCGACACACTGAAAGTCTGGTCAGACTCACCCTTAGCCTTATCCGCAGCAACAAGCTCAGGATCATCGTGAACACCAGATGTGAGGATATTGGTAGTGAGCTCATCTGATTTGGGAAGTTTTTCTCCTGGGGCAACATGGACTGGGTTGACAGCTCCCGCAAAGGCTGGCAATGGGGATACACCGAAAGACTGCTCCCCTTCACTCTTTGCCTTGTCCGCTGCCACAAGCTCTGGATCGTCGTGAACGCCAGATGTAATTGTGTTTTCGGTGAATGCGCCAGATTCTGGAACCTTCTCGCCAGGTGCGAGCCTGATAGGGTTGACTGCACCCTCAGCAGCAGGAAGAGGATTAACGGAGAAATCACCTTTCTCTACAGCCGCTGGAGTTTCAGGGAATGAGCCTGGCAGATCTGAGGAGCCAGTCTGCTCGAGCGTATCCTTTTCGTGCTCAAATGGGACGTCCTTGGCCAATGCGGCGGTGGTCGAGTTGGGTGCGACTCCAGACATGATTCCAGCAGTTTCGGGCTTGTGCTTGATGATGCGGTCCGTTGTGAGAACGTTGTTTAGGTTCCCAGACTCGTCGTTTTCTTGAGGGGCGGTGTGATCGGTAACCCAATTTCCATCAACAACGAACTGCAAAGCCACGAGAAATTAGTATATCTGCAAGAAGTTTTTCGGGTGGAAGACAAGGTAGAATGGCTCCTGGGCAAGCCTCGAGTATAAGGGCCTGGGAGCTCCTGCGGCGGGGTCGCAAATAGGCGACATCAGCTGCGCGGACCAGCCGAATTCGTCACAAAACGGGGCCGTTGCTTGCCAATGCACCCTGGCAAGTGGTGCAATTTCAAGGTAATAGCTTCACCGCTCCAGGGTGAAAGGGAATGGCCAACAAAAGAGCAAACGCGTCATAACACAAGGACCTAACTCGGCCAAAAGGTCTCCAGAGACTGGTGCTCCCCGTGTATCTGCTCCTCAAGCAACGCGTTTGGGCGCGTGGAGCGTCATGGGCCAAATCTCTTTACAGACAGGCTTCGAAAGTCCAGACGGAGTACGCTCCAAGAACGTGACTGGTCCATCTTTCTCTTGAAGGCAAGAATGTTCAGTGACCCTTTGCGTACCACCTGTCCTACACAGCCCGAGTCTCGAGAGCTTTGATGCGGGAAGTAGGAAGAATTTGTTGAGAATCACATACCTTATAATAGATCTTCTCCCCCGCACTAGAGAGCGTCACATCCTTCTCGAATACATCACCCGTCTTTACAAGTTTCTCGCTCTTGGACCAATTGTCAAATGTCCCAGTGACATACACCTCGGAGGCAGGATGGTCCCTGAGCAGATCATTAGCAAGTATGCTGGGGAAAAGCCGGCGCGAGAAGATTCCAATATCAAACAAGCCAAAAAAAGACAGTCCACGACTATGCGCATTCAAGAAGTGTACACGCAAGGTGAAGCGTACAACCGGGACAGGGTTGCACAAGTGACCATATACTCAGTCGCAATACGACTGAAGCGTACGGTCAAGATAAGCGCATCAAGAGGTCTCTGCACAACAAACATACCACTTAAAGACGAAGCTTCCCATGTCGGCTGTGTGATGATTTGGTGGGCTGGTGGGCAAGTGTAATTGTGTTTCGAGGTAGCTGGGTTATTCAAAATGGAAGGAATCGGAGATGTGACGAGAACACGGGTCTCACGACAGCTGCGATACGGCACAAATGAAAGCGTGAAAGGTATGAACTGAGGAATTATGTTGGGCGAGGACGCGGTATCGAGAAGAGGGTTTGCTTAGGCAGGTCGTCCGTAGTTCTGAAGATTCAACTGTTAGCTTTGATTCCCGTTCTCATCCTGGCAAGCGCGAATCTACTGGGGAGCTCCATTGAAGCTCGACACGTACCTGTGGAACGAGAGGGATCTTCGACGGACAGCGGAATGTAAAATACAAGATGCGATAGAGGTCTGCGATGCAGTAAAACGAGGAAAATGCGACGGGGAGCGGATTGCGCGAGGTGCGGCTGTGGAAGAACTGGTGGATCAGGTTTGAAGAGTTGCAGTTTGATGAATCGACCGGCGGGGGCGCTAAATAAGTGGGCCAGACAGCATGTGCGCGATGAGATTCTGTTTGCTGGGCGGTGCGGTGTTTGGAGTCACGAGGTTTCTAGGTAATGTGATCATGATGGTGACAGGATTTAAGGTACGAAGTACTTGGTTTTTGTTTTGTGCTCCCAAGGGTTCTTATGACACGCTCCTTGGGTTGGTATCTAGATACGCCTTTTGTACAGATGTAGTTATGTGGTAGGCTTCGAATAGGTGGGCACGCGGGCGGTAAGGGCCACTCGAGGAACGCTATTTCACCCAAACACTGCTAGATGGCAGCCAGCACGACACGACTAGAACTACAAAACGCACGGTGATGTTTGGTATATCATAGATCTATTTCTATCTGTTTTGGGCTACTAGATAGTAGGATTATCATAAGCATTTGTGCGACGATGCATATCCTAGCTCGGATGACGTCTTTTGGGTGAAGAACTGCCCAGGTGGTGAGGGGCGTGCCCAGGTACCTAGGTACTGTATGTACTGAGGAACGTTATTCGAAGAAGTAATTCATCTAAAATCGCGACCTTGGTGATAGACTAAGCGCTTCGTTGATAATCAACACCTATCTATAAGTACCTAGGTACTCTCCTAGATATTTGCTGGCGGGTTTATCTAATTGTGGAACATGCACGCTTCTCTATGGCTTCTAGAATCCTTCTGGAACAAAGTCCCATCTGTACTCTGCAACTTCTCTCTGCTTCCTGCCAATAGGTGACCCTGTTCGGCCAGTGCTTGTTTGAGCTGTTCCAGCGGTTCTCACATCTTAGGTAGGGAGGCTTAAATCCCGCTGCTGCTGCGTTGCCGTTTGCATCGTGCCCCTGTTTGTCCAGCTCTACTAGATACTTACCTAGGTAGGTATACAAAAGCAAGGCCATTATTATTGATACACTCGCTCAAAAAGCTGTGCTGTTGGTCCGAACTCAAGCTCGTCCCCCGCAGTCTCGCCCTCGCCCCTCGCGCCCCTCTTCCCATCCCAAAACTTTCAGTGCGTGCAAGCAACCACAACTGAGCAGCGCAACGCAACCACGACCCCCATTACTTAGCGTCACCTCGCTCCCCTCTCCTGCCTCCTGCCTCCTCCATCATCCCTTGACGCCGGCTGCTCCCCCATCACTGACTGCTTCAATCAACCTCGACCAAGACTACGGTATTCTACGTTCTGTTCCACACCTATCGTGGCCGACGCTTCGATCCAAACAAATCTCTCTTTGTCGTCCCCGCAGAACGTAAAGCTACACTTGCATCCCTGCCGCCCAGAGACGCCAAAGCGAGTGTATGTCTGGTTCCATCTCTTTCACTACGTTGAATATTGCACTGCATTGGTGGTCTAGGCTAATCCTCCATTCTGCAGCTCAGAGACGTTGATAGATCGCGTGGAGTTCGGTCGATTTTTTACTTGTACTGCAAGCACTCCTTCTCGTTCTGCTCCTCCGTTACCTTGCCGATCTATGTAGTGAGCGATTCGCTGACCCCTCTGTGCCTACAGTTGTTCGCACGAGTGACGCCAGATAATAAATCAAAAGATACCCATTTACGTTCCGGTCACGACTTTGTCGAATGTCATATCCAAGTACCTATCTTGAGGAGATAGAGCTGTTGAACCGAGAAGTTTTAAAAGCACAACCGACCGATATCCTCCAATTCTGCGCCAATTTCTTTGCGCGCCGTCTAGGTAGGTGCATTTCTCTTGAACGAGTTGCAGCTGAATGGAGAAGGCGCCGGCGTGCTCACGGCGTAGAGTTGCAGGCTACTAGGAGTCCTTGTGTCAGAGCAAATACTTATCCGAACTTTTAGAAACCGAAAGAGCCGAACTCCTTCTGGGACCGCATTCCAAGCTCCCCATTATGTCTGGAAACACATTCCCTGGCCGACTGGGTGCAAACTCCAACCCTTTCGGAGAGTCGCAGCCATCTGGGGGCATATCCAAAGTCATGGAGGAAGAGGAAAACGATACAGTCGCCTCACCAGCAGCTCCGAGCTTTAGTTTCGGATCCAATACCGCGTTTGGTTCCCCATTTGGCGGTGATGCGGCCGGTCAAGGACCCCCATCGTCGTTCAAGCCTACAAGTACGGAGGGGTTTCCAGATCAATATGGAATGGGAAGACGAACTTCGGTTTCTGCAGAATCATTGAATCCTACGGCATCTTCCAACGACAACTGGTCGCCACCTTTCCATCAAAAGACCGAGGAGCAGATTAGTAGGCTGAAGAGTTCCATCTCAGGCAACTTCTTGTTCAGCCACCTGGACGATGAGCAGAGTGCACAAATCCTTGGTGCGTTGGTTGAAAAGCCAATCCCCGCCAAAGACATTAAGGTATGTGTTGTGCAGCTGGCATTTGGTGTAGTCTGGGGCTGATTGCTCTGCGCAGGTTATCACGCAAGGCGACCAGGGCGACTTCTTTTATGTTGTTGAAAAGGGAACTTTTGATGTCTATGTCAATCCAGCCGGTTCCATGCAGCCAGGTCCACAGGGTTTGGGGACGAAGGTTGCCACCATTCAGTCGGGAGGATCTTTTGGAGAGTTAGCATTGATGTACAATGCTCCTAGAGCTGCAACAGTAATGTCCGCAGAAGGCCAATGCACCCTCTGGGCATTGGACCGAATCACTTTCCGGCGGATTCTTATGGACTCTACATTCCAGCGCCGTCGGCTGTACGAGAGCTTCCTCGAGGAAGTGCCTCTGCTTTCAAGTCTCACAAAATACGAGCGGTCCAAGATAGCGGATGCACTTGACACCCAGAAATATCCTCAAGGCACTACGATCATTAAGGAGGGAGATGCAGGCGAGGCTTTCTATCTTCTAGAGAGTGGCGAAGCAGAGGCATACAAAGAAGGTACATCGAATCCTGTGAAGGCCTACAAGAAAGGAGACTATTTCGGCGAACTTGCTCTACTCAATGATGCCCCTCGTGCTGCTAGTGTGATTAGCAAGACTGAAGTCAAGGTTGCTACCCTTGGAAAAGACGGATTTCAGAGACTTTTGGGACCAGTCGAGAGTATCATGAGGAGAACCAAATATGAGACTGGGGTTGAGGATATTGATCCTCTTGCAAGTAAATGAATACTAAGGGAGGTGGACTGCATTGTTACGTCCGTGGGTACGAGGTTATGGCGTTGGGACGTGGTTTCTTACGTTCCTTGATAGGTGGTTATTTTTGCTTTTACTCTTTTGGTGATTCGGATACCTTGATGCGGAGAACTCCATGGCACTTCCAGTCGAGCTTTTCATGCAGACATTTTAATACAAAGATTGCAAATGGTAATAAGCTTTTGCCTCCCACTATTTGTGCGAGTCTAGAATTGATACACGCGGGTATAAACGAGACCAGACGCCTTGATCTGATGCTGCGTCAATTAAAGACGTCTGAAATTATACGGCGCCGTTTTCCAAAATGCCCATTGCCCCAGACTGCCTCCCAATAGGTTGTCTGCACATGCAAATCAAAAGGGCAGTCTCGTGAGTTTACTTCGTCCGTTTTGAAGACCTTTTCACCGTGCACCCCTCCTCCTTCGTTCGAGAATATCTCTCCGCACCGCTTCTGCTGCAACCTCGACCTCGAGGACCCTCCCAACAGTTTTCCTCCAGCCTTCTTCCAATCCCCTGATCTCCGGTCCCACTGCCTCCTGCGCATTTTTCCGTGCAATCACAACATCGTCTATCTCGCTTTTTGTCATCGCCAATTCTTTCTCCAGCCCTCTCAAGATGTCCTCCAATTGTGCATTACTGATCAGCCAACTGTTCTTTCCATAATTCTCCAGAAGAGCGAGGTTGGCCAGTCGCGAAGAAAGGTATGTCTGCGTAGTATATGCCTTCGTGAGCGCTCCACTCCATACCGCCAAACTTGCAGCGTCATTGCCATTGACTTCGGGCGCATCGAGTTCTTCGTAGCGTTTGGTATCAATTGTATTTAGTGCCTTTTTTGAAGCAATGCGGTCATGCTCGGCGAGCATCAAGGGAGAAATATTGGATGGCAGAAGGGGAGGCAGGCGGGGGTGAGTTGACTCGCTGGACGTGGGTTGGAGCTCGAGGTCAATGAGGGCTTGAGCAGCTGCGCGTTGCTGTGGAGTTGGCTCGGGGTCGATATACGGAAGGGAGTCGTGAACTGCCGAAGTGAGCGACATTCTGACGCTCAAGAAATCCTTTGATGTAGAGAGGACTGGTGATCGTGGATGGGGTGTTGAAGAGTTGTCCAGCTTTTTGGTTGCTCGAATACGGAGTATCTGGCGAGGGTACGCGACTGCCCATGCGCATGGATCTCCGACAGGGATGGAGTCAATTGGATTTTCTAGTGGGGGGTGGTGGCGCTGGACCCCAAACGTGCAGCAGGTGGGGAGCTAGAATGAGAGGTTCGACTACCTTTCGTGCTTAGGTTGCTAGCAGGATCTCTGCTGGCTCTACTCGTAGTTGCCTGTGGACATCATCGCACCATGTTGAGCCCTTCCATATCACCCTGAATCTCCAAAGTGTACAGTTTTACTCCAAACCTCTGTACAACATGGACAAACCATCGTCACCACCAAAGGCGGCAGCTCCGGAAGATGTTTGGTTACGTCAGGACACGGGTCGAAGTAACAAGTCTCGAGTCGTTTGGATCGCGCTGATGAAGGTCCTGTCGGGCTTTGTGCTTGGAGTGCTCTTCTATGGTGCCTTGAGACATTTCAATCCCTCTTTTGGGGGGAAATTGCGGTATATAGGGTCGGTTGATGGCGAGGTGGCGGCGGGAGACGGGGGAAATGCATTCAAAATCAGAAAAGGGAGCAAGTACTTGCTTGGGGTTGGAAAGGCCGACATCACTGGGTAATTCAAAGTTCGAAACTGGCACGACCTGTTGCTGATGAAGCTGTAGCCCGGTCGTGGAAATAAACATGATGGGATACGCAGACACCAAGCAGGTTGGGTCTGGCCTCCGTCAGCGCTTGTTTTCCCGAGCCTTTATTATTGGCGATCATGAGCGTCCAGACGACCGATTTGTATATCTCGTTCTGGACACTCAGTCTGGAGACACAGCCGTGCGCTATGGGATTCTGGAAGGACTAGCCAACCTTGGAAGTGATTATTCTGTTTATGGACAACACAATGTAGCCGTCACTGGAACGCATTCTCATTCTGGGCCAGGAGCTTGGTTGAACTACTTGTTGCCGCAGATCACTAGCAAAGGCTTTGACAAACAAAGCTATAAGGCTATTGTGGATGGCGCCTTGTTGTCAATCACTAGGGCACATAGCAACTTGCAGCCCGGATATCTGAGCGTCGGCTCCACGAAGGTCTTTGGTGCAAATATCAATCGGAGTCTTTATGCGTATCTCGCCAATCCAGAAGACGAAAGAGCTGGCTACAACACGACCAACGAAGACGATGGAAGCGTCGAGAAAACTTTGACCTTACTCAAATTCCAAAGAGCTTTGGATGGAAAGAACATCGGCGTGTTGACTTGGTTCCCTACACACGGAACGTCGATGTTGGGCAACAATACTCTCATATCTGGCGACAACAAGGGTGTAGCAGCAGATCTTTTTGAGAAGAGCTTGAACGGGGACGAGACTGCTGCAAAAGGCTTCGTAGCTGGGTTTTCCCAAGCGAGCGTGGGTGACACGAGTCCAAATGTACTTGGTGCGTGGTGTGAAGATGGGACGGGACGCCAGTGCAGCTTCAAAAATAGCACATGCAGCAATGGTAAAAGTCAGAACTGTCATGCCCGCGGCCCCTATTTCAGGAGAAACGACAACGGAGCTTCTTCGTGTTTTGAGATAGGAAAGCGCCAATTCGAGCCCGCTAAAGCGTTGTATCAGGACATGGATAACTTAGGAACTCCTATTACCGGGTCCTCTGTGAAATCGTTCCATATCTTCCACGACATGTCCAACTTCAGCTTTCCACTATCAAATGGAAGCTATGTAACCACTTGTCCTGCAGCTTTGGGCTATTCTTTCGCAGCTGGGACCTCAGATGGGCCCGGAGCTTTTGATTTTACACAGAATGATCCAAATACCCCAAATGCCTCGCCGGTGTGGCGAGTGGTGTCAGGCTTCGTCCATGAACCAAGCAAGGCACAACGGGCTTGTCACTACCCGAAGCCAATACTGCTGGATGTCGGCGAGGTCACATCTCCGTACCTCTGGACGCCGAACGTGGTCGACGTACAGGTCCTTCGCGTAGGTCAGCTGTTCGTCGTCGTCAGTCCCGGAGAAGCGACAACGATGTCCGGGCGCCGTTGGAAAAAGGCAGTAGCTGAAGAGGCATCATCGCTGGCTCTTTCGGATTCTGCCGCTGTGGATCCAGTTGTTGTACTGGGTGGTCCTGCAAATAGCTACACCCATTACATTGCTACGCCCGAAGAATACTCGGTACAAAGATATGAGGGCGCTTCGACTTTGTACGGAGCTTATACATTAAATGCATATATATATCTCACACTCACGAATCTACCATATCTCTCTCCTTCCTCAAATACACGCCCTAAGCCAGGACCATTCCCACCAAATAACGTCAACAATTCCCTCTCGTTTATAACCGGCGTCGTCTTTGACAACCCCCCTATCTTCAAGAAGTTTGGCGATGTGAAGACCGACGTTCAACATTCCTATCGCGCCGGAGCTACAATTTCAGCGGTATTTGTAGGCGCAAACCCAAGAAATAATCTGAGGCTAGAACAAACGTACGCGGCTATTGAAAAGCTCGATTCGTCAAGCGGGCGATGGGTGATAATACGAGACGACAGTGACTGGAGTCTCATCTTCAAATGGAAACGGACCAGTGAAGTCTTGGGAACAAGCGAGGTGGAGATAGTTTGGGAATCAGAAGAAGGCACTGGGAACGGGCAGTATCGAATTCATTATTGGGGGGATTCAAAGTCAGTTGGCAGCGGAGCTATTTCTAGTTTTGAAGGACTGAGTGGCACGTTTGTTTTAACATGACGGAAGACTTGTTAAAAAGTATTTTTGATAAACTATTTGTTCAAATCACAAGTGTATATTCATGTACTTGCTCATACCGTGATAAGGCTACATTAGAACTCCTTATAATTCACAGAATATGAACCAATGCATAACCCAACGCAGTCAACGCCAGGCAATGCATCGCTAATAACAGGATATTGTAAAGAGCTTCACGGACTGACCTCAGCCTCTATTTTTCCTCGTCTTCCGTCTTTCGATTTGATCCCACTTCCAAGCATCCTCAAAGACCGTACGCTTGGACTGAGTGTCACTTTCCTTCAGTCCCAAACGCCTGACAACTTGGAAGGCACCCGTCCCGACACTCATAGTTTGGCCCATAATAATACACTCACTTACACCCTCGATCTTGTCAGATTTCATGCCGGCTGCCGCATCGAAAAGGTGGTCAGGTGTCTTCTCGAAAGATGCTAGCTGCAGCACGCTGTCTCGCATCTTTGAAAGACCAAACCGAGTGATTCCGAGCACTTCGCCCTTATATGTCATGACATCAGCAAGCAGTTGCATGTGTCGAGGATCGATGTCCATCTGACCCATAACAACACCAATCTCCTGGGCAATGGTCGTTCGAGCAGCCTCGATACCCAATACATCTTTCATTTCCATAACACTGTTGCTCGTCACTTGAGTGCCGATAACACCGATCGTGTTCATGCACGCTCGGAGGCCATACCCTTCGACCACTACTTCATTTTTGGACTCCTGAGAGCTGTTTATCACAGCTCGAGAGGCTTCAGGATAGCCAGATATGGCAATAGCTGGGAGGACGCGCTTCAAGTGGTTCATACGCAGCGCAAGCTCGCTGGCATTGATGCCTTCATCCTTTGCTTTCGTTTTCGCGGCGGCTGCTCCGCGAGCTCCGAGGTTTCCACCAGTAGTCTCATTGACCTTGATAAACACGCAACCGGGTCGTATATAAACGTCTTCTGGAAGGATCTTAAGTTTCTTGTTCAGGTATATTTTAGACGCTATGTCTGCCACAGTTAGTCCAAGGAACAGTTTATCCAATCGATCCATGTCAACTTGGAGACACATCTGTGCGCCTTTGCTAGACCATTGGTCCTCTATGCAGCTCAGAACTTCTCCAAGAAACGTTCTTTGTATACGACCTTTTACTGCTCGTGCAGATATAATGGATGTCTTGTTGTGCAGTGGACACTTGATGATAGGCGTACTGATCACCTTCGAGGCATTGATGATTTCCTTGATACGAGGAACACCCTGTGTTATACTCATGCCGGCAACACCAGCGAAATGGAAAGTCTTCAAAGTCATCTGTGTACCGGGCTCTCCTATGGACTGGGCGCCGACAGCACCGACGGCATGTCCCGGCTCAACATGTGCTTTCGCATATTTGCTCAAGCAGAGGGATATAAACTTGTTTAGGGTCGGCCCAGATACTTTTGCCACACGTTCTACGCGAAGTCTTGCTTGCTTGTCCTCTCTTGTGGCATCATATCGCTGGCCCGATAAGTTGGGATCTTGCTCCAAGCGGGGAAGACCGGATTTTTCTCTAATGTTAGCCATTTTCGTAGCCAAGAGCTTGACGTGGTTTGCGATTGTCTCAACAAAGTCACGAGCACTGTCATGCTCATCGATAGCATAATCGCTCTGATCAGTGTAATCCAATGAATCACCGAGCAACCCTTTTCGCACGTACTTTTTCTTTTGTTCGGCGAGATATTCGTCGCAGTAGGCGGTAACCTGATAAGGCAACAGACAAGGATCGTCGTTTTTCCACGTCAAGTTCTCAGCGTGTGAGAAAGTCCTTTTGAAATTAACAGGAACGGCCGAACCCTCCATGTCAACGGGATCTAGCTTGTCTGCTCCAAACTGGAATTGTACCACACCCCCAGATGAGTTACGAACGGTGTCGTCGTATTGGGTGGAAAGATCTTCTAAGGACTTCATCAATCTCCTAGACATGTAGCCAGTTTCTGCGGTTTTCACAGCAGTATCGACTAAACCCTCACGACCAGAGATGGCGTGGAATAAAAATTCAGTTGGGGTCAGTCCTGTGAAGAAACTGTTAACGACGAAACCTTTAGCTAAGGCATGTCGAGCGTTCTTCAAGAAATGGGGCAGAGTTCGATCTTGAAACCCTTCGGCCACACGTTTGCCTCCAATGATCTGTTGTCCTACAACAGCAACCATTTGGGCAACATTGATATTCGATCCCTTAGAGCCAGACTTGGCCATAATCAATGGGGAATTCCACTTGCTCAAGGTCTCAATGCAGTAATTCCCTGCCTGTTCTCTGACCCCACTTAGCTTTCCAGAAATGCTGTTTTCAAGACTTTCGTCCAAGTCACAACCGGCGGCTTTCTCTAGTTTCCCCTCGTTGTATTTTTGAATATCCTCATTCGTCTCTTTATAGGCGATACTGACCAACCTCTGTTTATGTGCCGTAAGTGTTGCCGATGGATATACATCACTGATGCCTATTGAAAAGCCTTGATTTGTAAGGTATCTTGCTGACACTTTAGCAAGTCTGTTCATTGCAGTAACGGCTTCGTCGGGTCCAAAATCCCGAAGAATAATGTAGAAGATTGAATCCTTTTTACCAGACCCAACAGTTGTTTTATCCATCCTACCGCACATGACTTCTGAATTGCGTACTACAAGCCACCCGTCATTAATATCCATGTCCGGGGCCCAGTTCTCTTTATCTTCTCTGTAGTCTCGGCATTTGGCATCCAAATTCACCTTGACCGGTGAGAGCTTGTTTGGTCGCATCAGAACACTGAACACTTGTTTTCCTGTCCACAGAGCTTCGGGTTTCAATATAGCTGGTGGGGGTAGATCCAGGTGAAGATTACCATCAACCATGTACATACAGATATTGGTAAAGGTCTTGCGATCAAAAAAGTTCTCCTTGCTGCTCAACAGGTAAGCAGCCGTGATGAAATCTTGCGTAGCTGAAATGATCGGTTCTCCATTTTTGGGAGTTGAAAGATTGTTCTTGACGCCCATGAGATTGATAGCCTCCGTACGGGCTTCCTCTGTCTGCGGAACATGTAAATTCATCTCGTCACCATCGAAATCAGCGTTATATGGGTTGCAGACACACTCATTCAAACGGAATGTTCTCCAAGGTCTGACCTTGACGTAATGGCTCATGATGCTCAATTTGTGCAAAGACGGCTGCCTGTTGAAAAGTACAATGTCTCCATCCTCAAGATGCCGTTCGACGACATCACCAATTTGTAGATTCCTTGCTTCATTTTCTCGACGAGCAAACTTGAGGGAAATCTTGTGATCGGAATCCTTCTTGATAATTTGCTGGGCGCCAGGGTGTATATTAGCACCATTTCGAACGCATTTTTGAAGCTTTTTGATATTGTGCCTTTGCACCCGTTCCGGATAGGTTAGATTTTTCGCTACAAGAATTGGTATTGCCACCTCATCAATGCCCAAGTTGGGGTCCGGTGAGATAACAGTTCGGCCGGAGAAGTCGACGCGCTTCCCAGATAAGTTTCCTCTAAAACGACCTTGTTTTCCCTTCAGGCGTTGACAGAAACCTCGAATTGGCTTTCCGAAATTGTTTTGCTGAAGTCCAGGAACGTCGCTGTTAACGTACATGGCAATCTGCAATTGTAAATAGTCCCACTGATCCATAATGGTGGTAAGTGGCTGGCCCTTATTAATCGCATTCCTCAGCAAAGAACTGACATTGACAATATCTGCCAATTTTATTGTGAGATCGTCTTCAGTGCTAGCGCTATCTTGTGCGACGGAGGGCCGAATACACACAGGAGGTGTTGGGACGTACTGCCAGATGAACATCTCGGGTCTCCCTTCGGCAGGGTTGATGTTTAGCAGCTCGCAGTCGCTCGGAGAGATCATTTTGAAGAGATTTAGAACCCTAAGAGGATTGAGATCCTCTATCGCTTTCCGCGAGTGCTTTTCGATTTCACTATTGTTCTTTTTCGCCTCTTCAAATGACGCCTTGAATTTCTTGAGACCTTCTGGCTCAACCCTAGATTTCGCCGAAGATTTATTGTATGCCACATATCTGTCGTGTGCAAGCTTAAGAGCCGCAACTTTCCGTATCTGACCATTCACACTATCACAGTGAGGACAAGTCTTAGCTTTGCGGCATTGTTCATTAATTCGTTTACAAATCTGCGAACGTTTCAGGTTGTCAATACCGGGCCGCCGCAGCTCCTTGAGAAACGCTCGGCGTTCAGTGTCTGTAAGCAGTACTTTCGCACAATCCTAAGTAGTGGTTAGGTAAGTGTAGCAGTCCTGATATGAGCGGCGCTCACCTTGCAGATATTTTGTAGGATATTGATTGTTAATTTCAGATAACCAATATGGAATACTGGTAAAGCCAATCTAATATGCCCGAAGTGGCCATTGCAGAACTGCAAGCCTTCATGACAGGTCTCGCAGACGCCTGTTTTGCTGGATATTCCCTACACAGAAACACTCTCAATATAGGAACTTGAAGCGCATTATTAAGATGTGGTCTTCATACCAGTTTTGGGTCTAGAGCTCCATTTGCTATGGGTTTGCGAATTCGGGAAACATCATATAGCAGCTTGTCTGAGACTTCGAGGACCGCCTGGTTAACAATGTCTTGATTCGACCTACACAGATGAGTTGTTAGTACGTGTCGGCGTATCACCAGAGTCTTCCTTACTGTATCCCGAATTGCAATTCCTTGAACCGTTTTGGGGGGCGGTCGACAACCTGGAGCTTATGAGTAACAGCGTATGTCTGCATTGTTGTCGTAAATCACGAGCAGTCGTCTGAGGACGGCAGATCACAGCAGCGGTATTGATTCGATCCCGTTACTACCGCATCTTGGTGGTATGAGGTTATGGACTTTGACATTGACCAAAGCTATCTGTGACTCTAAAAAGTTCATGCTGTCGGAGCCGGCCAAATTTTTGGTTGGTGGGGTCCGAAGCTGAGGGGTAGCCATCAGGTCACATGATCCCAGGCCATATCAAAACTCTCACTCATTTAACAGAATCGGTTATTCACAAACATTTACACATACAAATCGCTAGTTGTGACGTATTTATCCTCTTGAAAGCCGCATCTACACCCAACACTTCATGAGGTACATCAGAAGAGAACCCGGATATCATTCTCACAGTCAAGAAAGCTCAATACCAAATTGATTAAATCTCTGATCATTATTCTACGCTATTGCTTCCCATCTTCACCCCCTCGTAGCCCCAGCAGAGCTCTAACATCTGTCACCCACTGAAGGCCCTCCAGCAGAGGCACGAGATGCAGCAGGTCATTGTCAGTTGGATCATTGATCCAACCTTCTATTGGTATAGCATTATCTTGGCCCCAGTTAGTATTTTTCACGTTCGCGGAAAGAATCTCCTTACCTCGGTGAAACATATAACTCAAAGGGCTGTTGTCCAAGATCATGACCTTACTAAGATCCGGCTCGACCGAGCTCAGATCTTTAATGAAAGCCCCGTGCCGAAATGTACAATGCTGGCGATAATATCGTCCCGAGAAGAATTTGCGCTCCTGCTCTAACCAATCAATGACTGGGTCTGCGTACTCCTGGACCGAAGCTGTAAAAACGACCAAGTTGTACCATTTGCACACCTGGACACGATCAGCAAATCATTGTTTTGACAACGCGGGAAACACACCTTTCTCAAGAAGTCATCACAATGTGGCCTTTTGTGAACGTAATATAAGATTGGATGTTGAGGGCCCAAAGTTGCGTTCCCGCCTGCTCCAACCACTGTATTCAACTTTACCTCTACCATGTGGCCGGTACCCATACGACCACCTTTGGCCATGCTATGGATGAGTGTTTCGTCGAGATCTAGGATGAGGGTCTTTTGAATCACTCTACCACTGAGTGGGTCTGGAAGTACGTATGAAGGTTGCCGCTCTGGTATAAGCGGTCGTGGGGCAGCAGGAGCACGAGGATATCTGGTCATCAGAAGTGAGGAAGAAGGCGATGTCGGTGATTTTATAGAAGCAGAAGGTACATCCCCGGTGGACACATTGCTAGGGTCACTGTTCTGCATACTCGAAGACTGTGTACGCCGATGTTTCCTCTGCCGCATGCTATCTTCATTGTGAAGTTTGATGCGGATGGAACGTCTTGTGGGAGCGACTTCATCCAAAGGTTCTAGAGACTTCGGACGCACGTGGCGTCTCACTGCCGGCGAGTCTAGACTGTCTTCCACATGAGAAAGGTCTCGATCCGATTCTGATTCCGAGGAAAGTCCCGAGGAGGAAGAATTAGATGCAATCTTTCGACTGCCTGCGACCGAATTCCGGCGGCTCTGTCTCTTCTCATGACTGGTCTTTCCTAGCCGCATAGAATTTTCTTGAGAATTTGCACCGTCTCTGCCGCCCGACCGTTGCGTGTCATTCCGAGAGAATGGGGTACCGAGCTTCCTCAGTTGTGAAAAGGGTGCGAAGTTCCCTCCCTCGTCGTAAAGGCAGGCGATTAAGTATATGCCGGGAGTAGCTAATGTAGAAAGCATCCAGCGCAGAGATTCGATGACTGCTGTCGAGATTCTTTTAGGTATCCTATGCCAACTAAACTGTTCTGGTGGATAACTGTTCGCTTCTTTGCTGAGGAGAGGGGTCTCCTCCTGTATAGTACTGTCGCCATCGAAATCCCCTTCTTGTACATCTACATCGTATGGCACTTTCTCCTCCAGAATACTGTCTCTCGAGTTTCTGCGATCAGTTGCAGACAGAAGGTTCGCGTGCGAGTTAGTCCTCGAGGTAGTTGGCGTCTGGGGCGGCGAGACTCGCGCCGAGAGTATGTTAAGGGAGTTCATTGCTCTATATCGAAGCCATGAAGGGTAGTAAACAAGCGCCTTTCCCAGATTTCGCTCAATGAAGTGACAGCGGATACACCTTTGGTCTGCTGGGCCGATAAATCGACTATCCTGCGTCTCGGCTCCAGTAAGGTTATGTACAATGTGCAATGTTCTCTGACGGAATCGTCAGGCGCGCGTATTTCTCCTTCGCAATCTGAGTCGCGCCAAATTAGGTGGCCAGAAGCAGAACGGCAACCAGACCGGAGCGTACAGACCTACTGATGGTAGGCAAGTTGATGTAGGAATGCTGAGGTGGTTTCGTCGGAACATGTGCATCGAGCATGGGACCCATAAGTCGTCAACAAGAGCTCCTGCAAGGTTCACTGAAGTGGTGGAGCGAGGTCCACCCGGCCTTTCTGTGCACGTCCCGTCGTTTTTAAGCCTTGATAATGAGTCAAAATTATCACCGACCACAGGACATTGTGAATAGCTTCACTTCAAGATTAATTGTCACATTAATGACTTACCGAAACCGTACAATCTAGCTCCAACCACTCGCGACAATCCTCGTTTTCGTCCAGGCCACTCATCGCCTGCTCTTGTTCGCCCTTTCTTGTTTTACTACCCCACCACGGTACAGAGTACTTTCACACCTACACGATCTGCTGAAAGGACCCCCTTCATCTACAGTCTGGGCGCGACAGACTGCTTTCCCAGCGTGCAATCGCATCTTGCCCGAATCATGCCGTCTCTATCAACCGGTTATGCGCCCAATTTGGGCGTTTTTTTAAAATCTCTCAAGTCGCAGCAACTTGAGGCTTCAATTGAAAATCTAATCTCGTATGTTCTACTGCGTGCAATCACACCGCGAATTGCAACTAACAAGATCCCTAGACTTTTGAAGCGACGTCAGATCAAGAACTCCAGGCCGTGCGCGATCGCAACTGCGCATTTACTCCTCCGTGTCGTTGCTAGATTCAAGTGGACCGATGTTGGAAAACTTCTTGAGCGCATCCAGGAGGTGGGTCAACGGCTCATCCAAGCTCAACCAAGAGAAATGGTGGTTGGCAATATTGTACGAAGGGTCTTAGGCATGATTCGAGATGAGGCAAAGGAGGATCGCAACGAAGATGCCAGCGATTCAGCTTCGAATAGCCAGTTGAGCTCTCCGAAACGTCAGAGCAGCGACCTTGGACATCTCAGAAATGCTGGTGGGCCACCTACTGCCTTCAGCCCGCTGCGTTTCGATTCTAAGGATGTGGTCCAAGCCATGGATTCAAATAGCGACGATTCATTTGGAAGCAAGTCCTCTGCCAACCATCGCCCACCCTTAATCACGTCGCACACCTCTTATGCTGTGACGAACAACGTGCCCGTCCAACACTCAATGTTCAATTTGCTCTCGGCCATGCCCTCACCACTCGCAACTCCCCCGGGTGTCTCCTCACCACAAGGGCGGTCTTCTGTAAACATGTCATCAGTTGCACATAGAGCAGCTGCAAGTTCCAACGATTTAAAAGCGGAAGTCATTAGTGGAATCGAGGAGATTATTGATGAGCTCGACCAAGTCGATGAACAGATTGCCTCATATGCCCAAGAACATATACACTCCAATGAAACAATACTCACGCACTCCTCATCAAGAAGTGTTCAAAAATTCCTTCTGAAAGCCGCCGAAAAGCGGAAATTTACGGTCATTGTCGCAGAGTCCTATCCAAATGATCATGAGGCGACACACGCTGCAGTTGCAGGAAAGAGCAAGTCTTCTTTAGATGATTCAGACGATATGGACTCGGACACTTTTTTGAAACCACTACCAAAAGCTGGCATAACTGTCATTCAAGTCACTGATGCAGCCATCTTTGCTGTGATGTCAAGAGTAAATAAAGTCGTGCTAGCCACACACGCTGTCATTGCGAATGGTGGCTTGATAGCAGCTGCTGGCGCACGCGGCATTGCGAAGGCAGCAAGTTTTCACAAAACTCCTGTGATTGTAGTTAGTGGTGTCTACAAACTCAGTCCAGAGTATCCTTTTGAATTTGAGTCATTGATAGAGTATGGCGACCCAGGAAGCATCATCAGTTACCACGATGGCCCTCTGGTGGATAGTGTGGAAGTTGACAATCCCGTGTATGATTATGTCCCACCTCACCTTGTTGACCTTTATATCACAAATCTGTAAGTCGCTATTTCGTAGCCTGGGGCTCTATACAGGCTAACACTGCGATCTAGAGGAGCACATGCACCATCTTATCTGTACCGAATCGTCGAGGATCATTACAAGGCTGAAGACACGAACTTTCACAATCCAGAATTCCAATATTAAATCGAGACTCTACTGGCAGAACCACATTTGGCGAGACAGTGGATGTCTCTATTTTGCGTTCGTCACCCACATCTGCTGGCTTGTCGATGGAATCGCAAACGCCAGGGGCTGAACGGACTGTGATAACAACTCGCTGCAGAGCGCATTTTCAGACCCGGCACAGGCATAACTGCCGCATTTATCAGAGCACCCCCACAGCAGGAGGCGTGTGACTCTGATATTACTAGGTGGTCTGGGCTGGTTATAAAAACACAAGCGCCCGCGATACTCACTGCACATCCGCCGTTTTCCACGGGCTTATATGAAGGGCTTGCAAGCTCGCCAAATATACCACTGTCGCATGTCCAGACCAGACGTCCTGAAATGGCAAATGAGTGTCATAAAAGGTCACAGTGTATTGAGAACTTAGTCTTATACAGTATTCCTAAGTCAAGTATTTTGGAAGTCGCATTTGTAGGAATCTCTAGGATTTCGAGCTAGACACGGACCGCACAGGTAATACCACAAAGGCGAAGGGAATTTGCCTTATAAATCTTGACATACATAAGTGTGATGTGCAGAAAATACTGCGTGACTTTGTCGTGCTGCAACAGGGGTTTCGACTCCCGAATGCAGGTCCGTAAGTGCGGCGAGGACGTCGAGCCTTTCGTGAGATGGTTTGAGCATGTCCATATCTACCTAATCTAATAATTCACACTCTATCGCTCTGCAACTTTCTAGGTTCCTGTTTTGACGATATTTCCTTCACCTCAACACGATGGATACCCGAGCTTCTATACCTCTTCCACCTTATAGTGAGACGGATACGAACGCCAGTATTATCCTAACGCCGCCTTCTTCGCATTATGCTAATGCAGCTGTGACGGCTTCGACACTGCCATCTCTTGCCTCGGACACTGCTACAGGAGCAGGCATCTACACTCCCAGCACGTCTCCATCTCCATCTGAATATCAGCATCCAGAACTTCCAGCTGACTACACTGTTTCTCTATCCGCTGCAGCCTTTTTTGAGTCGCGGCCTCTGCTGGACAGACTTTCTTCTCATCCGACCATAAGCCACAACATTACTGTAGGCTCCGAGACCGATCATGGAGACCTTCCTTGCCTCGAGGAGTTGGCATCGAACGATGTCACTCAGCAGGATTGGGCTACGTTTCTTAACCACCTCTTACCTGGACGTATTGTCATTGTTAATAATGATATCGCCAATCGTAAACTATGAGCTGAAATGATGAACGAGCAGATGTGAGATTCATGCTCTCCTCTTGTCTTCTTCTAGACAGCTCTTGTCGATTCTCGTATTCTCGCCTCAGCGGTCTCACAGGCGGGACGACTACTTTACTTGCATCACGTATGCCTAAATCGACTATAAAACATGAACCGGACATATATGTCGTGTAGGAGCCGGCTCGCAATGGACGATGTCGAAAGTTCTACACATGATCCAAGTAGAGTACGCGCCCAACTAGCACCCCTCGAATACGGTAGCTTCTGATGCTATGATGGCCACCACCATCCGGGAATGGAATGACAACTTCTTCGAGCCACGAGGTATCCAGATTGTTGTCTCTGAGAATATCGAAAATGTGCCTTCCATTGCTTCGAACCGGGCGACCTTCCCCGGCAGCACTGATCCCATTCGAGACAGAACCAGAGAACCTGCAAGCATCCTCTGCGGAGGCTTTTAATACGACCAAGGCTAACCATGATGGAATGTTCAGTAGCTTCAAGCCATACTCATCGATGGAAGCGAAGTCTAGAGGCTTTCGAATAGGGCCAATTGTTGCTGACAACGAAGGATTTCGCATCGGGAAAGATCTTGTGGTGAGTTGTGGTCCTGTTATATAAACATATGCCCCTTTTTCATCGAACCATTGCGACCTACTCATCACCTTTTTCGCTTTAGTTTTTTTGTGCTACTATACCTAATCAGAAGTACTCTACTGTCGGGGTGCACAGAACCCAGAAAATCCTATCATCCGCCAATTTTTTTTGGTCATTTCATATACCGACGGATCTTCTGTATTGTGCCTGCAGACATGTTTCAAGTACTGCCTAGTTGTTCGTCGATAGGGTCTCTTAGCCCAATCTCATATTTTTCTGCTTGCCGACCCCTTTGACTCACTGACACGAGTTGGCGAATGTCGGCGAGAATCAGTTGTCTCTTTCATCATGAACAAGCTTCTTGATCAGTGTTTATTCTTTTATGCAGCTGTTACTATGCCGATATCTTGAGGAAAACTGACTTCCAAAGGCCGGTAAAAACGGATTCCGCATTGGAAATATGTTACAGGCTGACCAGAGTGGCTTCAGACTTGGACGCCCTCGTGGTATAGTAGCCACTAACCAGAATTTCTCGGTGGGTGGCAGAGTATGGGGAGGCAGAGACATCGGTACCGATCGAACGACTAAAGGAAGAGAAGACCAAGAAAGACACACACGCAGAGAGCATCGCCACCAGAGGTCCATATCAACCTCAAGCCCCACCTCGTCGAGCTCGTCTTCATCGTCAGATTCTGTTTCGTCAGTTGGCTCTCTTCCAGCATTTGAAGATCTTAAAGACTACCAGTTACCAGAAACTCGAGTCGCACTTGAAAACTGGCTCAACCACCCAGACCAACCCATTACGAAAAATGAAGTGCGAAGGATGTATCAACAGATTACATCTGCGGACACACGCTCACTCGCTCAGCATCAACAAAACATGTCTGGCTTGCGGATAGAGATCCGAGAGTTGATGAAAGCATTTCGAGAAAGCCAAAAAGTTCAGAAACGCGAGCGAAGAGCAGTCAAACGTAAACGTCGCTCTGCTCGTAGAGCTAAGAAGCAGCAGAAGCGTCTCCTCAAGCGGGAGGAGCGACGAGCATTGCACGCGGAGAAGAAACATAAGGGGAAAGGCAAAGAGCGAGGTGGGCATTCGCGGAATTTCGCTCCTTTCGGTATCGCACAACAATCTGCAACGATAAACCATGGAAGCTCTAACCCAAGAGAGGCTTCTTCATCCATTTCGTCGATCGTGAGAGGGTTTCCTTTTGGCAGAAAGACGTCAGCACCTCCTGGTTCTCGTCCGCGATCTCCCCAACCGTCCCATGGTGACCACAACGGTCTGTCAGGGATGCATAATACCTGGCCCTTTACCCAAGGCGCACCGTATGCCCTAGGCAATATCTCAATGCCATCTTTTGGACGTCCCTCATTGGTTTCTCGAAGCGCAGAGCGAATTCATTCCCAGTTACTTGTGGTTTCGTCACTGGCGGATGACAGTGAAGCAAGAGCTGTGGAGCTCCGAGTTGCTGTCACTACCCATGGTACCTCGCACAATTCCCGACTCAAGATGATGAGCGAGGCCACTGCCACGGTAGAAGAAGCCGGGAGGTACAGGCGAGAACCTGACAAGTTGCGCGCTGAGAGACAGCTTCTAGACTCGGAGCTGGCAAAGGAGCTGGACGAGGAGATCGTTCAGTGTGAGCAAGGGCGAGGGAAAGGCCAATTTGACGGAGTGACTAGCCATTGAACGTGACAACGAAGAACGGGAACTAATGTTTGCTAAATCGAGGGGGTGAAACCGAATAAGGCATTGAATAGCGAAGTTTCTATCTCTTAATCTACATACTATGTTGGAGCCCTGCCCGAAGCATCTGTGCATTTTCTTGCAATCTAGCTTGTTTTGACTGATTGACTCTACAGAATTTGTAAGTATATTACTTATGCTGGCTATTGATGGACAAAGAAAGGAGCAAACCACTCGATCGTTTCGAGCTGTCTGTTGCTTGAAGAAAGAGATGTTACCTACAAGCAATGGAGAGAGTTGTGAGGCTCTAGAACATTTAGCTAGATGATGAGAACGATAAGATGGCTCGACAATTGAAATTGAACTTGTAGAACAAATGGCTTATATCCACTGTCACTAATTGGTTGTTGGTAGGAGGATGATCATTGCTAGGTTCGCAATTGTATCCCACTCAGAAATTGCTTTTCATCACCTTCCTGGGAGCTCTAATAGTGCACCTCCATCTATTGCGATGATTTCCCCATTGACATATTTGTTTTTCATCAAAAATAATGCTCCCATTGCCATCTCCTCATCACTCCCAGCGCGCCCATGAGGTACATGTCCTTTCTCTTGGATCTTTTCATCTGGGAGTTCACTCTTGTTGTCCTCACCACTCTCTTTCGCAGTCATCTCGCTAGGGAAGTATCCAGGGGCGATGCTGTTAACTCTAATACCTGCTTCCTTGAATTCATAGGACATCAACTTTGCAAGGTGTACCGTTGCCCCCTTGGCAGCATTGTATGCGAAATGATTTTGCGAATCTCGCATGATTCCGGACATGCTAGAGATCACAATCACAGATGGTGAGAGGTGATGGTCGTCCTTCTTGATAGATGCTTGGAGTAGCGGCAGAAAAGCTGTAGTAGTGAAATACACGGAAGTGACGTTCGTGTTGAAAGTGTCGGACCAAGAAGCGAAATCTTCGTTTTTAAAAAGATTCTTGTTCAGCTCTGAAGCATCCGAGCTTTCAGGTGAGCCTTTAGGACCGGATATGCCTGCATTTGTAACGAGAAGATCGATGCTTTTCTCCTTTTTACCAATCTCCGCTACCAAGTTCTCGAGGTCTTCCTTTTTGGTCACATCACAAGGCCCAATGCTACTTGCGATCAGTATCAAGGCTATCAACAGGCAGATACAACCTACGGGATGATCTCTCCATCTCCGCTTGGTGAATGGGTCTTTGCAGTGTTCTCGAGGACTTCCTTACGGCGAGATGTGATGTACACTCGAGCTCCATTGGCAGCCTAGATTTGGTTAGCAACAATCGCCAAAGCCGAGTGAGATGATGAATATAGTACCAATGCCTGAGTAATCATGAGACCAATTCCAGTGCCGCCTCCTGTAACTACACAAACATGGCCTTTGGCAGAGAACAGATTCTCGGCTGCTAATTGTGAAGTTTGGACCATCTTGAATGTCTAGTCAGGTACAGCTTCAACACTGAGGAATAAGTAAGTCTAATTAGTGCAAGAACTTGTGATTTTTCCACGAAAGTCGGACGATATGACAGCTGAATGACACTTATCTTAAGGAGCAGAGAATGTGCGGTTCTTTTAACAATCGATCGCCGGTGATGTCAGGCACAGTTTAGCGAGGTGTTGAGAGCTGCCTACGTCTACGTCATAGTTAATGATTGTACAGAATCCCATATATGCATGCGGTTTGTTTTGAAGGTATTTAAAGGACTTGAACAAAGACGCAATGGGGACTACTACTACTTCTATGGGAGCTGAACATATGGAAATACAGAGTGGTTGTGAAGCAACTCAGTTCTCCTGGGTTTCTCTGGCAGACCGTCGAATTAAGCGAGATTCATTGGTCATTTTTAGTCAAAAATTCGGATCGCCTCTATTGTAGACTACTAGCCAAACTAATTAAGTGAGAACTTCTACGAAGCGTAAAAAGACCGTGGACGCCATTCGGTAAGATTATAGGCTATCTATGTTCGTCTAGCCAATTTGAAACGCAGTCTAAAGCATCCCAGAAGTGTGTTTCTTTCCGATCTAGCGATTTAGGTTCAAAAGACCCTCAATATACCTCTTGGTGTCTACCCCAATGCCCTGTGCTAGTTTTCCTGGACCGCTCGCCCAACTCGTTTCCATGTTGGCCGAAGAACTGCTCACGAACCGCGTAGAAGTGTGGCTGGTACGATGATCACTTGCTTGGCGAATCAAAAATATTTCTTTGTCTTTCGGTATACTACCATTGGCATGGTTGCGAGGGGTAAGAAATGGATGAGCAGGGCCAGACACAAAACTCGACGCGAAAGTACTCGTGTGTCGCGACTTTTCCGTGTCCGATAGAGTATGACCCAGGGAAGATGCTGTACTATCCTCGGCAATTGAAGCTGGAATTGTTGCTGGTCCAGAAGAGGGTGTAGGCGATGTGATATTCGGATCAGCTATTCGAGTCCAGACTACCCACCACCCTCTACTAGTCTTGCATGTACGTTCTTTCTCTCCATCCCGGGAATCTTTAGTAGTCGCAACATACATGTGGAGAATCTGCATATGCGTACTGAGCGCCTCGATCCGAGACCATGGTGGCTGCATAGAAGACTCATAGGATGCATAAGGATCGGGAATATTGGGTATCGTTGAATTCACCGTCAGTGTCCTAGGGTCCCACACGAGGTCGTATATGGGCACGGCAGTGCCAGCTGTTGCATCCGGACGAGGTGGTCGGAAACTGGTGGACTGAAGCAGGGGCTTTATCAGCGGATTGAGCTGCCGGTGTAGATTTCGATAGAGACTGCTCCAAGCCAACGACTCGGCTCTCAGTTCGAACAAAAATATAAATACAAACGGTCTGCTAGCATAAACAATTACGCGCAATTTTTTGGTCTTATTTCTGTCTTGGCTTTCGAAAGAACCTTGCGATGCAGAGGTTCGTTCTGAGCTGGTGTGTTTCGACATCGGTTGCTCATTTTCGGTTTTGCTCAAATCGATACTGATATCCGCTTCTGCACGAGCATCTTCTGCTCGTTCTAGCTCCACAGTCAGGGTCCGCAAAAGCAGCCGCTCATTTGATCCTTCCAGTTCTATAGAGTTGTTTCCCGACGCGACCACCTCGACCTCGTTGTCCGTTGTATCTTCGTCAGTGTCATCGATCTCTCCTTGTAGCCCTATCAAAAAATGGGCAGATGAATCATCATGAATACGCTGTAAAGCTGGCTCTGACTCGCCTGCTTCTTCGTTTTGATTGTTTTCAGAATCTCCTAAACTTCCCGTTTCGGCATTCACAGCCCGAGGCTTGTTAGTACCGGCGGGTGTATGTTCTGTTGTATGGCTTGGCGGAGAAGCAGCATTGCCCCCAAGCGACCAGTGAGTGCCATACCCAAGCTTTAAATAATGCATGAGCTTGCTCGTCTTCTTCGACTCACTATCGCTACTAATCGCGGAAATCGCTCGTCGTAGAACAGGCTTTCTTTTGGCACGAGACCTATCTGATTCTGACTCTCCTTTAAGGGCCTGAGTGTGCTCTCCAGACGGATTGCCCCTCTTTGGAACATCGGCAGGCTCTTCCCTGGCGTCCTGTCTTTGCTCTTCGCTTTTCACGGAGTCTCCACCGAGAGTATCGTCTGAAAATGTTTCCCGTGATTGCTCTACATGATCGATAGGCTTCCGACTTGCCTCTGTAGAATCTTTTTGGCGAGTATCGTTACCCGAAGAAGTAGTTTTCGGTTTGGGCTTGATTCCATAAACTTGTTGTGACTGCTCCCTTGTATCGGGAGACATCACTCTTTTCGTTTGAACCCGAGGCTTTTTCTTCCTGTGTCTTCGAGTCGAAGTTGGATTATCAATTACACCATAGGCAAGTGGACCCCATCTATATATATCTTCAGCCCAGTGGGAAATGTCACGAATGGATTTTCGCGACAGGGCGCCCGTCCCAAGGAACACCGCTCCATCTTCAGCATCAGGGTCGCTACCTCGACCCATCCATGAATCCGGGCCCACTTGATTGCCGTTGACGCTTTTGGCAGGTTTCTTCGCATCATCAACTGATTGGGGTTCGCCGAATTTCAAGACCATCAAATCGACAAGCCCTTCAATCCTGTTCACGAAACCTTCGAGTACTTCACGCTCACCGCTACCTCTGTGCTCTTCGCCTACACCAATACCCAGTTCTCCACAAGCCGCTACTTTGATACCGCCGTATAAGCTATTGGTAGGATTACCATGCATGAGAACGTTCCACGTCGAAAGGAAGGTGTCCCAATAACGCACAAGAATATTTATAAATTTGTATCGCTTCGTCCGGACGAACAACGCGCTCATCGATGATGCATGGTGTAAGAGGAAGGTTGAATGTGCCCGGAGGAGATCGCCAAGTAGCAGCACCGCAGGCTTCACCTCGCGGGAGGAGTACTCCACGGTTTCGACGGTATCTGAGGCTTTACCCTTCGTAGGCGCAACTTTTGTGCTCTTGGGAATGACGCTTAGGTTGATTGACTACAGAAGTTAGTACTTCGTTTGCTCTAACGTATATGTGTGTTCTCACCGCCAATATCCACCAGCCAGATTCCAACTCATGTAGAATAATTCGTGACTTCTCAGTCTCGATAGTATCGACAGCCTGCCCGTCGGAGAAACTCCGTCCAAACTCCACCATACCTTGAGCAAGACCGATCCTTCTCAATTGCTCATTGAGCTGCTCGCGCGCCTGCGACGCTTCGGGTACTTGACGGCCATGCTGGTCTTGGTGGCCGGGTGCTGTGTAATAAACAACTTGATCGCCAATCGTTTCGTCTGTGGCGCCCAAAGACGGATTGTAGATAGCGAGAAAATCTAGTTGTGCTGGAATAGCTCTTGCCGGGGACTCGCTGGGGGATGACATTGCATCTTCGCGCGGAACCTATACAGGGTGGTGGTATGGCGTTAGGACAATCGTAGGGTTGCGAGCGTTGAGAAGTCGTAGGTCGTGCAACTGCAAGGCATGGTGGTCAATGACAGTCCAAGTCTCGAGTCCCATATCCCACCCAGCGGAGGGGATTACTTGACTATGTCCCCGTCAAGGGTCGACAGTCAAGGCGGTGTCGTGTTGTTTGACGGCGCAAGAATCCCAGCCTAGATAGCGGCAGCGGCTCCTCCTAGGTACCTACCTAGGTAGTCCCAGTGGAGAGTGGATGATGTAATTTTGAGCGCGTCGGTTCGCAACCGGAGACAAAGCTCCGAGACGCGCCGACGACGAGGCTCGAAGAGTACCTAGGTAGGTACCTGAGTTCCTATCTAGTTCCTCCTTACCTACCTAGGTAGGCAATATCACAACATTCAAGGAACCTGAGAAGTGGTGAGGCTGTTTGGTCATGACCAGACCTCGGCTTGCCGCCTATGTCGTGACCTTCCTCCCCGTGTCGAGACGAGGCCTATCCAGCCTCTGCAGTACAAGTACCCCAACGGCCAAACCACTCCGCATTCTCTTCTGTGGTTCAGACGAGTTCAGTGGAGAATCTCTGCGGGCGGTTCATGCCGAGCAACAACGGAATCCGAATCTAATTGCTTCGATTGACGTCCTGCTCCGCCGAGCCAAACTCTCCGGCCGGGGACTAAAAGAAAAGCGTGATGGTCAGTCAAGTTCAACACTGCTCGCTGGCGTGAGGTATTCGAGGGCTGATGGCAAGCTATAGTACCTATTAAATCTATCGCCCAGCAGCTCAGCCTGCCCATCCACGAGATCGATGGTTTCAAAGGTTGGGAAGTGAGCGTTCTAGCACGATGAACATTCGCACGGGACTAACAATCTCGTACAGTTGCCAAAACCTCAGAAAGAATCTATCAATCTGATAATAGCCGTCTCGTTTGGCTTATTCATCCCATCTCGCCTACTTAAGGAGGCGGAGCATGGAGGTTTGAATGTTCATCCATCTTTGCTCCCAAAGTATTTTGAGTCTTTCGAATTATATTTGCCTGAATGCTAACTTTGCAAGCTTCCGCGGTGCAGCACCTTTGCAACGCCTTCTCTTAGCTGGAGAAACTAGGACGGGAGTTACACTTCAAACTTTAGACCATCGGTCTTTTGACCACGGCAAGATTCTAGCACAAACACAGCCACCAGGAATAGAAGTCCCGCATCTGTGTTCCTATAATGAATTGCTTCAAATCGTTACTCCAAAGGCTGCAGAAATACTTATAGACGGTCTGCGCAATCGAGTATTTCAACCGCCTATGGTCGATGTTGGTATTTATGACCAAAAGCAACTGAAGCTGGCGCCAAAAATAACGTCAAACGATCGACGCATAAATTGGGTAGAGTGGAAAGCTATTACCATACTTCGGCAGTCGAAGGCGCTTGGGAGGCCGTGGACTATGATGCAAGATCGTCGTGGTCAACAATTCCGCGTCACTTTTCACGACGTTAGACAAATGGACAGGTCCAGCCCTGTAACAGATCAGAATCCATCGTCGGATAAAAACATTCTGAAAACGCCTATCATGGGAACGCAGTCATATCCGGCTCACTGTTCTCTTTTCATTTCTCAAGAAAACCTCAAGAGAGAGTTGATGTGGTACACCCACCAAGACTCGGTTGTTTTCGTCGACGGAAATGGCAATGCTATATGTATAGATACCATAACCGTGGAGGGAAAAACTGCTCAGAACGCCCGCGCTGCTATGCTTCCATTTACACTATCCCCACCATAGCCGACAGACTCAAACAACTGCATTCCTGAAACCACGAAGTGTTCTCTATCTATCACTTTACCGGGCCATGGTGATGGACCATATGGACTGCAACTCTCTTCTGACACGCTTTTCACCAACTTAGCTTTCGACTCCTGAACATTCCAGGTATAAACAAATCTCCAATTTTGTTGGGCTCACTACCAAACAAATATAAGCGTATGGGCCATCAGCTAGAGGTGTCCCGAAAATTTCAACACTGCCTGTGAGGGAAACATACGTGGAAGTAATTGTGGGACGTTTCAATGACATTAAGTGCGTAGGAAATTGACTCCAAAACAGGGAAGGAAATAACCAATAAATGAAAAGGAAATATCAGTTTCTTATTGGTGGTTCAAATGTCCCATCTAGTGTATAAATATGTTTTATCTACAAAATTCTCTATGAAAAGATCTCACTCTACATTGGGATGTGTCGTGCTTATTGGTATTCTAGAAAGATTTCGCAATTACCAAAATGCAAACCTACTTCATTAAATATCAGTATACTTCTCCTAACATCTTCAAGTTAAGAAGTGATCTCTCCTCATCCAGCAATTCTGTTTAGTCTACAGTGATATCGAGGATGTAATAGAGCTTCCAGCTAATAGGGTGAAAAGTTAGAGGAAGAAGCAAGTTTGAAATTAGGGAACAATAGGCTGTTTTAAGTTTCACATGTTAATGGCACTAGTCGCTTTGTACTACCTAGTATTCGCGTTTACTTAGACATAATAGCTGCATTCTCTAACTATTCGGTTTCTAGTGTGTTGCTGGTCACGATAATAATTTCCAAAATGACCGACGGCTTCTGAAAACATGATTCGAATAAATGGCAACAAAAAGGATAAGATTAGCAATTTCTAGATTTATTCGAAGCCAGGTACCATCAACCAATTTTCCGGTAAACTAATGCGTTGTCCAAGTTTTACAGTATTTACCCGTCCCACTCTAACCTATATACGTCTTAACGCCTCTATATACAACCAACGCCTTGCAGACCTGAAATCACAACTGTACATCGTTGTTGAGCAGCCTTACCTCCTCCCCAGGTTTAAAGGCAGGCATGCCGATATATGGACAACCATCACAGCGGAAAGCATCCCCTAGACTACAATTTCCACAAGACCCGACTTTTCCTTGAACGGTGAAGTCAACTTCTGCGAGATCGTCCGCTCCTAACTTGAGAGTCTGAAGTTTTGCATCTGCATCAGACCGCTTTGCAGCATCTTCTTTCGCTATTCGTTCGGCAAGACCACAGGTACAGTCTTTACAGGCACGGCGACGCTTTCCAACTCTTGGTGCGCATTCGGGTGCTGTGGCAAACTTAGCAAATATTCATTACTAGACTGGTTGCATAAAACTTACGAATAGCAAGGCTCCTGTTCATGTCTTCCTCTGTGAGCAATGTGTCCTCGTCTATAAGCTCATCATCGTCACTCTCCCCTGTGATCATAGGATCGTCAAAATCGTCGCTGAAATCCACAAAGCCTACTCCCGCTGGCTTGTTCTGCGCCTGTACAGGGCCTCCACTTGCCATTGCCGTCGGTGCAGGAACTGGGGGCCCAGCATTCGATACAGCAGATTCCTTTAGTTTCCTCCGTAATTTCAATGGCATAGCTTCACTTGCACTGTAGTTCGGCTTCACCATCCTGCTACCCTCTGCCACCAGGCCTGCAAGTATAGCCTCTCTATGCTCGGCGCCGCCCGTATTCTGGTCAAAAGCGCCATCCTGGGCCTCCAATTTTCCGCCAGGCTTCAAAGCCTGAACAATCTTGCCAAATGCGTCTCTTCCAAGCAGGTCCGATGATTCTTTGCGTGATCCATCCGCATCGGTGAGTATTAATACAAGGTCGTAGGTGGAGTCGGGAAGAGTCACAAGCCCCGCTGACAAGCGATCCAGCATTTGCAAATCCGTGACGGATCGATCATATGTAGAGAGCACATTCCGCAGTCTTTCTTCATGGCTTGATATGGATGGAGGGGCAAGGAGGAGGGCTCTGGCGTTGGGAGAGGGGGGTTTGGTTGTTGGAGGGGATATCGGATTGAAATCGGAGTCGTTATCGATCATGAACGAAGGGGCCATGGTGAAGGGGTTGCAGCGCGTGCAAAACTGGCAGATAGGAGGAAATTTATTTGTGTACCAGCTGCTGGCAACTTTGGGGACGTATGGGTATACAAGTGAATACGATGTTTTGATATTGCGCGGAGATGTAATGGTTGGAAATAATTCCTCGGAACGGATTAAGATGCGGGCGGGTTGGAAATCAGAATTGTACGTCCGTGCGTGCTTGCTCGATCAAGGCTGTCCTCAGGCTGCAGAATGAGGGGCAGAAAGAGGGCAGAAAGAGGCGGATGCTCCCTCGTGTCACCCTCGCCCAGCATCCCTGCCAATCCCGAACAAGGCAAGTACCGTGTACCGTTGCGTCGCGATTACCCCAGATTTCCACCCCCTCCCTCCCCCTTTTCTCTTTGACAACGGCCGGCAAAGAAACGTCACTTGGATGTAACGGCGTATTTTGCTTCAGAGAAATTATTCAACTCCCGTGGTGGGTGAGAACCAAAATTACTCTGCTCTCCCGGTATTAGAAGACAACCACGCAAGCGCGGTCTGATAGTCGGAAGGTTTGAACATCACCTGGGTGGGGATGAGCTGATGCGTAACTCTCCCGATGACACAAGAGCGGCATTCCTGGCGTTGATTGAGTTGGGAAGGCTGATGCAAACTTCATTCGTAGATTATCTTTTCACTTCTGAACGCCCAGTATTGTAGATGCGATCATGATTAGGTTTGTATAACGTTAAACATATATCTTGAAGCCGAATTGTCTGTCCATTCCGAGCATCTTCACCAAATAATGCTCCGCACCGCCGCTTCGAGACAGACAATGGCATCACGCGACTCACGCCAATCATTGCCGCTTACCTCGGGCACCCCCTGCTTCTTGCCTACAACCAGTACTTCTATAGACTTCGATTGCTCATCTCTCCTCCTACCTCCTACCTCATCATACAACATCCATCCATCAATATCAATATCAATCGATACGTACTAATCGCAGTACCAAAGATAATACCATCTCCATCCCATCCACTCAATAGAGCAGAACTATCTTCATCAGTAAGGACATGATTCTCGATCTCTTATGCTGTTTACCCCTCCTCGCGTGATTATTTGTTTCCATTGTGTCAGCCACAGCTTTATACTCTTTGCTAATCAAGCTCAATTGACAGTGGGCAAGACACATAAGATGAATGATCGTGACCATGCCGGTCTCGCTGACGGAACTGCCTCTCCAACTGAACATCTTCCTCGATACTTCGCAAAGGCTGGTTATGTTGACGCCGATCCAAAGAAGACGAAGAAGAATGGCGCAGGCAAGGGCGGATGGTAAGTTCATACTGCTTTCACATACTCGCTCGCTTCTCTCCTTTCATATATGCCTATCTTGCCAGGAACATTTCGTGGATAGCGTGTTAACTTAACACAGGGGAGTCAATGGAGAAGAGGTCCAAGATGAAGGCTTCAATCTTAACAACGCCCGACGCCGTTCCAACAGTAGCAGCTACACTGCAGGTTTGAAAGACTTCAAGACCAAATTTGAGACGGTCGAGACCGAACCAGTTTTTGAGGAGGACATCCACGGCGCTACCGAAGAGGAAGCGGAGTTTTCGGAAGCTCGTCGTGTTAACACAGAGAGTTCCGTTAGCAGTGTCGACGATGATGATAAGAAGAGCCTCTAAGGAGGGGTCGTTGTTCCGAGGTTGTGGTCACTACCCGCCATCCTCAGGGAATAGGGAGGTTTATCTGCCATGTGTTATTGTTATCTGCCGGCGGATGGCAGGCATTGCTCCACCAAACGACATTGCGTCGAAGGACTGGCTCTGTATTAAGACCAGATGTATTATCAAAGTTTAGCTTCCGAAAGGCACAGAGAGTTGCCCAGTAAAATCAATTCAATGTTTAGTTGATGTTTTTCCTCCAAGGTGTTACGGTGACCCCGCATTTGACCAACGATAGTTGACAGCCTAGTGACAATTCGTCAACTTTAACAAGCTCATCTTTAACTATATCAACTATATACACTATCAATACGCTTCGACGACCTTAACCGTCGTCATCACGGATAAAGCTTGAGGCACCCTCGTCGCCGAGGCACTACGATATTGGCTGTTTACCACGCCTTATCCACCACCCCGCAATCGGTTGGATACCCGTTATCAGACCACCCGCAAGCCAAATTTGAAACTTTTATTTATTCATTCTAGTCAAACCATTATTCCGGAACTATGCCTTACAATCTAAAAGGTCGTAATGTCTTAGTGACAGGCGGCTCTAGGTATGTATTCTTCCGCCAATTTCAAGTTCATAAGTGGTGGTCCCAGCGGAGTCATACATTTACGTCTTTTCTGGTTCACTTTCAACTGTAACTTTAAAATGATCCGAATACTTGAGATGAATGACATATAAACTAACTCAAAATGCCTCACGGCATACAGGGGACTTGGCGAGTATATATGTGTTAAATTCGCTGAGGAAGGAGCAAATGTTGCTATCAACTTCTGTGCGAGTGAGGATAGGGCGAAGGGGGTTTTGGGAAAGGTGAAGAGTAAGGGTGTTAAAGGGGTAATTATTGGTGGGGTAAGTTTCTATCTCTTTAATTTTGTTCTTGTCAGTTGAGCTTTTTGATGTTTATGGATGAGATTTGGAGAGGCTAGCTGTTCTAGGTGTTGACTTACTTGGTATATTCGTTTCCAGTGGAGTCAGTTATTGCTTGATCTTTGGTATTCTCTCATCTGTCTACCGGGAAAATGTGCGTTGAACTTTCTACTTATTTTTGCTATACTCATTTGAGATCTCACTCATGTCCGCCTCCTATCACAAGTTTTTAGCTTGAGAGGTGGACTAGTTCTTTACTTGGAGAGTTGGATTAGTAAACGGATGGTAGATGATATTTAAGACAACATGGAGGAAAGTGGCCTGGACAGATTTGACTTATACTTTTCTTTTCTCAAATCGACTTTTACTTGGCCTCGACTGCATCTATCACTTTGACATGTGTTGCGTGACAATAAAAATCGGGCTAATTGCAAACTCTTAGGACATGGCAATCGAAACCTCTTGCACATCTGTAATCCAAGAAACCATATCCCAACTCGGCGGCCTCGACATCATCATAGCCAACGCAGGCTACACCCGCTTCAGCACCTTTTCAGATCTCACAGCCACAACCACCTCGGATTGGGATACCTGTTTTGCTGTAAACATCAAGTCTCTGCACTACCTCCTTCGAGAAGCTCTCTCGACCTTCAATGACAATTCTGAAGGTGGGTGTTTCATCGTGACATCTAGCATTGCGGCAGTGAAGATTGGAGGTAGTTGTGTCCCGTATAATATCACCAAAGCGGCTCAGCTGCAGTGGGTCAAGTGTATGGCGGGGACTCAAGGACCGAAAGTGAGAGTCAATGCTGTGTTGCCGGGATGGTTGGCTACTGAATGGGTAAGTTGAGGAAGAGGGACAGCAGGGAGCGATTTTAGGTGGAACTAATTGCAAGCAGGGTGAGAAGTATACGCCGGAACAGGTTGAGAAGATGAATGAGCAGGCTTGGTTGGGAAAACCGGTAAGCTATGTACTCTTGGGTTAGGACAATAAACTGATAGTGGTGATAGACGGATTTAGATGATTGTGCACAGATTTATGTGGACATTGCGAAGAATGCTTCGATGACAGGACAGAAGATCCAAGTTGGTAAGTTCCCCAAACACTTTTCCAATACACAGTGTGAATCAAAACTTATTCTGTTTAGATTCGGGCCTAGGTGGCTAGCAGGACTGTTGCGTACTTTGAACTCAACAAGCCTCATAGTAAGTTTGAGATACCATTATAGTGCTGCTGGGCTGAGTGCTTGACACACTATGAGAATAACATCAGGGAGAGGAGGAGATGGAAATAACGGAGGGCCGCTGTCCGTATATCTTAGACCTAGCTATACAATATATCGAAATCGTAACGCTGGATAATTGTAGACATCTTGAATTCTTTATATAGAAATGTTTACATTGCTGTCAGGAAGTTATGACCCCGGAAACTAGCTTGGCGAAGTATAAGTGTTAACAAGATTTAATTACCATATATATACGAAAACGCTTCAAGCCTTGATGAAGTTTATAAAGAAAAGAGCACGAAGTCTCGACATGGTATCCCACCATGGAGAACTTTCGTAACGCCAGTATAGCCACATGGGGCAAAGCAGATAACACCTACATCATCAACATCAACGCAGCCACACCATCGCTATCATAAGAAGTGCAAACGACCGACGAAGAAACTAAACGGCTAGTTTGGGATTCTGCTTGGCGGCACCAAGAATGTCATCAACAATTCCCGTCCACAACTCCTTGAGGGCACCAGGCTCTTTGACTTGAGCGGGCAAATGATCTGAGAAGCCAGATGTGAGCTGGCCGATATCAACATCCAGCCCATCATTGCCGACAATTTCGCTCATGGCAGCAGCTAGAACATTATCCGGGTGAGCAGCAATGATGCTAATTTCGGATCTAGGCATAGGTGCATCTAGTTCCTCGGCGGCGTGAAATGAATCAGCGGAACGATTTGGATTGTAATTATCTGGAAGCAGAGGAACGCGAAGTTTCTCGAATGGATTCGCCGGAGGTCCCATATCGATATTGGGGAGGACAAATGATTCAATGGTGCTGGTATCACCACGCACTTGTTTGGGTGCCGAGGTGGTGAAGCCTTGCATCAAAGGGATGAGTTTGGTTGGGAGTTGTGGTCTATGAGCGATATGGTAGGCATGCGAGCCGATTAAGTCATGCGCACCAAGACGTTCGAGCTAGATGGGATCACCATCAGTTCATGGTCACAGGAATGGTCCGAAACTGATGGAGATATTACCTCTGGCTTGCTGCCATTTAATTGGCGTTTGGTGCATTCTGCCTTGAGATCCAGCTTCGAGCGGGGTAGGTGTGCATTTCGTGACTGTGAGGAGAGAAGGGCGGAGGGACGAGCAGCGCTGGGTGTTGATGAGATTCTTCGTACGGCTTGGTTTGTAAACTTGGTCACTGGGGGAGTAACTCGCGACATGATGATTAAGTCTGGATGGATTGCTGATGAAAATGGGTTGAGGCGATGGAAAGGGCGAGAAGGTAGTACGGGTGTACGAGGTGATGGATGACTGGGCTGAGGGGTGAGGGGTGAGGGGGTTTGAACTAACAAAGAAGAAGGTTGAGGGGAGAAGGGGAGAAGGGGGAGCACAGGATTTATATCAGAGCCGACGGGTGGAGATTAGCAGGGTGTGAGACGAGAGAACTGCGATGGATGGGTGTCAGGCACAAGCAATCGTACACGTCGGTACAATAATGCAGTCTACCGCTGTCGAGGCATCGAGATGAGTGTGAGAGCTGAAGCTTGAATCCGTTGACTGAGACCTTCAACCATCCATGCCCTGCTCCCGGACATCCTAAAAGTCGGCTACCAGCCAGCTAAACTCGTGGGGAGAGATCCACTGGCGATCCACTGGCTGATCTAGGGGAGTTCATAGGCCACTTTCTGGGGGGAATGGAAAAGCAGCAACGCGTGTTCTCAACACCTCGAGGACTGGAATGGCAGCACGCTGATTTCTAATGGTGATGCTGCATCTTGAAGAAAGAGAGCAGCAACCCAATTCTTGATTTGAGGTTCCTGAAGCTTCCAGAATAGCTGTTCAAAGTGTAACCCCAACCTTGAGATATCGACATCTGTCATGTTGGACTGCCACCACCACCGCCGTTTGCACCATTCCACGCCGCGGGCCCAGGAAATGATATTGACCGCCGCCTTACGCCTCCCTACGCCCCGCCGTCCAAGCTTCAGCGGGACTCAACGTTATGCGACCCTCGGGCGGTGAGTGCCAGAGTAACAGCGTTCCCTCACCTCTGATATCCACCACTTCCACCAGACCTCAAGCTTCTCGAGCATTCGCCTAACCACTTCGTAACTCTTCTAAGTTCTAGCGGCCGAGACATGCTTAATCTTTCCATATCCCATCGCCCAATTCATGACCCAACTCTCGCCGTGCTTGATCATTCGTCCAGCTCCCCTGTCATTTACCCTGGGAGCAGGATATCTCCATAGCTTACGGCCGACTGCCGTTCTAACGATGCTTGGCAGGTCCAGATTAAACTCCGTCGACCACCATCCTGGGTCGACGAGTCTTGATTCTGCGTTTTTGCCGGACCTTTTTGGGAAAGAAAGATAACATCTATGCAACCGCATTCCTCCTATTGTACTGTATCGTCTTCAAGAATTCAGCATTAGAAAGCCGGTGCATTTCGTTCAGATACGCCAGATTCGATATTTATGATGTTGGAAGCATTCCTTCTCACGCTTTACGCTTTACATCCTCAGGAGGTCACGGAATTCGTCACACCATTCAAGTGACAGATTTTTTTTTCAAACTGATTAGATTCAAATCCGCCTAATGTTTCCCACTGTCATCCACCGATGAGTGCATGTTGTTATCTGAAAGGGTATCATCTATCCTCAACTCATATCGCGCTCCACAAGACAAAGCGTCAAAAGCCTGCACATATGCCATGTACGGTGGTACCATATGTACAGGAAAAAGCCAAACCGTCGCTGAACGCCAGTAAGTGCAACAGGTACGCCACGCCTAGAAATGTATTATCCCACCAGCCACCCATAGGGCCTCCCGAAAAATCCGTCCGTAAATTTTGCGTCATACTCTGTATCCCAAGTCTCACCTATTTGGGACATGATCTTGACCATTCCAGCATTTTGCAACTCATATCCTCTGAAATTGCAGATTTCTTCCACCTGGCTAAAGATATGCCCATCATCGATATTTATCATTCAGTCTGTTTTCCAGTGGCTTGTGAGAGACCCATCGAGGTCTTCTTTGCCAATGTAAAGCTCCACAGCATATAGAGCCATGGTGGCTACAACATTGATCCATCGCCAGACATTGCCGCCCGCGTCCCCACCCTGCATGGTCCACCATTCGACATCATTTCCTTCCGCCGACGTCGTAGAGAAATGTTGCATCAGCAAGCTCGTATAGACCGCAACGAGAATACTGGGGCTAAACCAGCTCAATAAGCCCATGATGCGGTTTGCTCCATCACTATCATCGAAGCTTGGCTCCTCCGACAATGCTCGAGCTCCCGATGCATTGATGGCTGGAATGATGCGGGTAGCGGCATAGAAAACAAAAGTTCTATACGCAAGAGATATGATGACCGACGGCGTGATCGTCTGGAAAGCAGCCCAAAGGAAGGTGAAGCCCGAATGAACCGCCGAAGGTAGGGTAGATAGCACGTATACCAGAGTGGAGTATGAGGCCATGATGATTGGAGGAAAGGGTGGAAATTCTGGTTGTGCTGGGGGCGCCGCCGTCTCTGGTACAGACGTTGGAAGATAATCCGTGAAAATTTGATAGATGCACAGCACCACGTAAGCAAAGAGCAATGAGCTCTCCACGGGGTTTCCTCGTCCACTTCCTATTCCCCAAGCGCAGAGGAAAACAGCACAGGTGACTGTGGCTCCGATAAGTAGAGCGTCCACGTTTGAGATCTCGGGAAAGTTGGTGATCCTCCAGAGGAAATAGACGGAGCTGGAAATAATGGATGCAGACAAGACCAGAAGCCCAATCATCCACGTATCGCTTCGCCCACGATTTACCAGCCATCTAGTGACCTGGCCGGCAGCCTGAATGACCAATAAGCTGCAGAAACCTTCTGCCAACTGAAAGAGAGGTGTGGAATATCTCAGTAGCTTATCCCACGTCCCTACAGTGAGCATCTCCAAGAGACCACCGGCTCCAAACACCCAGTCTTTAACGCTTGTGTCATGAGCTCTCTTGTGGTCAAAGGTCCTCGCAACCCAACCACCGCTCGCATTGGCATCGACAGCAAAACGGTTCATGCTCCATATCAACAGCCCCGGCACCAATATCCACTGAGACAATCCCACTGCATGTCCCAATGCCCACCGCACCCTCGAGTTGTCAGGCGTAGCTAGCTGGAGTGTTGAATAAAAAAAGTAAAAGCTACACAATGATTAGCTGAAGACTGCCAACTCAGATACCTGTTTTGCTTACTAGAAGAGGCTCAGAGAAAATGCCAGCCCACAGTCCCTCCCCCCAACATCAAAGGCAATAGGGATAGAGAGGATGATGGAGAGGAGGAAAACTGCTGAAGAAACAACCCGAAAGAACCACATCAGCGCGGAGTGCGCCCAGGCGAGCGTAGAAGCGCGCCCAGTAGATCTGTTTTATATTCCAGATTGCGTCGTCGCAGTGTCTGGTAAGAAGAAGATGGCGATCTGTGTCGGCCGGTGATTCCACCTGTATTCCTGTGTGTGTTCTTTTTGGATGTATGGCTCGAGTTGCCTCTGTGCTGCTGCTTGATCCGAGGCAGTATCCTTGTGGTGTGACCAGCCTGAAATCTGCTTATCGGGGTTTTATCGAGGAGAGACGGTTTCGTGCAACGCTGGTAGAGCGGGTATGTCCTGCTGGATGGTGCGAGAAAAACAGCAGTGTCTAGATGTGCTAAAATCCGGGAAATCAGAGCAGGGGAAAGTCAAACCTATTGATGATGGCCGGAGAAGAGGCTGCAAAATGTAGGTACTAGGAAGTCTGGGTGTGATTTGCTGTCGCGTGCTGGGGGTTGTGGATTTCGAGATTCAAGTCCAAGATCTGGCCGACGGGTAAAAGCAGGCACGTTTTTGATTGGCACGCGGCTTCTGGAGAAAACAAGAAAGTTGGTAGCTCAGGTACGCTCTGTATGAGAAAGCCAAATACAAGATATCTAGGACGGTGACAATTGTTTGAGGAGAATGAAGGGGATGTTGCTTTTCTTGAAGTGCCAGCTGTAGAAATAAATCGCTGAAGACGGCGGTGTGAAGCTCGTGAAAATGCCCCACCAAAATTATGCCCCACTCCACCGTCCAGATGGAGGGCTCTTCTGGCGTCAATTCAGCTCGCGGGACAAGACTTGACTAAAGCTAACAGAATCAACACAACACAAAAACGTACTTGATACTTGCATGCTACGCGGCATCTTCAAAATGGCAGAGTCAGCGACAAAGAGACTCAAGATCTCCCCCGTCACGATCGGCACCCACAATGGTCACTTCCACGCGGATGAGGCCCTCGCTGTGTACATGCTTCGACTCCTCCCTACCTATAACGATAGCAAGCTCATCCGTACGCGCGATCCGGCTCTTCTCGATACCTGCCACACGGTGGTAGATGTTGGCGGAGAATACGACGCTGCAAAAGAAAGATATGACCATCATCAGCGGACTTTCAATACCACATTCCCCAACCGTCCTACGAAGCTGTCATCCGCTGGTTTAGTTTACATGCACTTTGGGAAGGCTATTATTGCACAGAAACTGGGAGTCGCCGAGGATGCCGAGGAAGTTAGCGTTATTTGGGAGAAGATTTACACCAGCTTTATTGAAGCGTTGGATGCTCACGACAATGGAATATCTGCTTACGATCCCAAGGCGATCTCCGCGGCAGGCTTAGAAAAAAGATTCAGTGATGGTGGTTTCTCTCTAGGTGCTATGGTATCAAGACTGAACCCAAATTGGAACGACCCAACACCTTCGGATCCTGTGCAGGCACAAGCGGCGGAAGACGAGAAATTTCTAGTCGCGAGTGCTCGGATGGGAGAGGAATTTTCGCGAGATTTAGATTACTACACCAAATCGTGGTTACCTGCAAGGGAAATTGTCCACAAGGCATACCAGAAGCGCTTGGAGCACGATCCCCAAGGACGGATTTTGGTGTTCGATGGGCAGTCCGTTCCCTGGAAAGATCATCTTTACACGCTTGAGGAGAAGGAAGGTGGCGAGGCAAAGATTCTTTATGTTTTATACCCAGAAAAGCCGGTGCCAGATGCTAAGTGGAGGATTCAGTGCGTACCAGTTACCAAGGACTCCTTCGAAAGTAGAAAGCCGTTGCCAGAGGCATGGAGAGGGTTCAGAGATGACGAATTGAGCGGTATCACTGGCGTTGATGGAGGCGTCTTCGTTCATGCGGCTGGATTCATTGGCGGTAACAAGACTTTCGAGGGTGCTAAGACTATGGCCGTGAAGGCGCTTGATATTTAGAGTGGCTATCTGATTGCCCGCAGGTAAAGCATTGTAAGGCGTTGGAGGGGGGAATTCAAAAGCAAGAAATAGCACACTTGTCACAGGGAATCCAACGAATTGTTATCTCAGATTCGACGGAAATAGTAATTCTGCTCGAAAAGTACTACACACGTGAAAAGTCGTCTCAAAAAACTAAAACGCAAGATGCAGTCGTTAAGAAAGCAACATGTACAGCTAAAGCCCTCATTCCTACCCATGATCCATAAATTCACCGTGAAACGCCAGTTTCCCATCCCATCAATCGTAATCTCCTGCGACAAACTCCACACACTGCCCAATTTCATAGCCAAGAGAAGCCCAATCATCTTCTGATAGGAATGCCCTCCTTCATAGGTGGAGGACTAACACTTTCGTTAAGTCGACCGGCAATCTTGGCCTTATCATCTTGTTCGTCGATACTGGTCTCCCGGTTCAAGAAGCTGCTTTCTTTGACAGGACTTCCGCTTGGCAAACCAGCTGTGCTACCAGAGTGGACGACATTGCCATTTCCGCTGCCTCCTTGATTCGGGTTGCCTACGCCCGGCGACGAGAGATGGGGAATATTTTCGGGAAGAGGATGTTGAGAGCCTACACTGCCGGTATCAACGGAGCTGGCTTTACCTGCTTTCGACAAAGCGTAATCGCCTGAGTCGAAGTATTTGCGCTCCTTGAGGTGTTTGGCCAAGTGGTCGGATTTGGAGGGGAGCTTTCCGTAAAGGCGAAAGAGTCGTTGCTCGTCAGGGGATAGAGACTGTATAAGGTCGTCAACGTAAATTACACATTCGAGATCGAGCGCTGTGCGGTGCCAAGGGTGCAGCTACTTACGTTGATATCAACCTTGTTCTTTTGGTGGGGGTTGAGAGCCATTGTGTTGATGAGGTTGCGGGGTATGAAGTCTTGAGATGGGGTGGATGATGTGCGAAGCTGGGGAATCGCCTTCTTCGAGGGAAAAGATCGCAAAAGTGCTCAGAAGCTCGATTATCGCGGCTCGAAAGTGTTGTTTATGCGCTTGGGTTGTCCACGACGACTACTTTTGCCGTCCAAACAATTATCCTTGTCTTTAATACCAGCAACAAAGATGATCGCTCCACTTCGAGAGTTGGTCACACTGCGGCGTCCTCGTGAATTTCTTCGGTGGTTATGGTATCAATCAATTTATAATGTGACTGTAGCAGGAGATGAAATCGGGTTTGAAAGCTTGTGAATGGTCTAGAGCAGAAGATGTGAGAGGGTTCGAGGAGGGGTCGGTGGATGAAATATGGCACTAACAGCTCGACGGGTCTGGGGTGGAGTTAAAATCGCTTAGCCTAGGGAAACTTTTTGATGCGTAGCAAATGTTGTGTTGCAGTGAATAATTCATCAACGACAGTCACTGGTAAAGTAAACTGCCTTGGATCTTCTCCCAGATCAATAAAACAGCTAGCTGTAAGAATATTCTTGGAAATCCCGAACCCCGCAATTGAAGCCCACTGACGGAATCCCAGATTTAGAAGATCTTCAGTGGGCTAAGCTCGTCACAAGACACATTGTCCAAACTTTTTCAACCGTTTCCCTAGTAGACAGGTTTTGTAATAAGGAAATCTCGCCGTAATCACAAATTAGGCCAGTGTATGATTTCTTTCTCAAATTCAGCCGAAGCATACTAAGCTCTCAAGCATTCTTGAGCTACAACATCACTTTCAACAGTGTAAACACCCCCAATATTCATTGGGCTTAGCGTGCGACACACACTCCCCCTATCTAGAAAGGAACTCGGTCACATACTGGTTGGTTTTGGCGGGTAAGATCAATTTCAACTTACTCAGAATGGCGGGCAAAACGTACGTCGTTGAGCATCTAGATGACGAGCTTGGTCCCTGGTCAGAGTTAGAGTATCTCACTATCGCAAAAGAATGTCATGAAGCAGGAGCGCGGTTCTGCTTATCTTCCGTACCTTCAAATCTTGTATTACCAGAGACTTTAAAGGCAGCGCCCGGTTTGACAGCAGAGGGGGAAAGCGTTGAAGTCTTGTACGCTGACAAGAAGTCCCGTGTCTGCTTGTTGGACCCCTCAGCGAGCAAAGAATTGAGCCCAGAGGATAGCGACGCATTTGAGATATTTCTGTTTGGAGGAATTCTGGGTATGTTATGTTGCTCTCCAGATTTGGTGCCTTTCATTGACCATATATAGGGGATGATCCGCCTAGAGGTTCGTCCCTCGAGATATCCCTATTGACCACAATTAAGGCATGCCAGATCGAACGTCGGAACTGAGGAAGAAAGGATATGAGAACCGCCGGCTTGGTCCTAAGCAGATGACTACAGATACTGCTGTAAGGGTAACAAGAATGATCATTCAGGACAAGTGTAAGGAGAATCCCAACTTTGCTATTGAAATCTTCTGAGGTTGATACTCTAGTACCGCTCGATAAGATTCCGTACGTAGATGATCCAGAATTACGGGTTAACAAGAATGAAAGCACCGAAATGCCGTTTCGATATGTCGTAGGTGCGAATGGGGAGCCAATAATGCCAGAAGTAAGTCTCAACTTGAAGAGTAATTCCAGACTCTACAACTAAATGCACGTAGGGCATGGTCGAATTGATAAAGAAGGATACCGAGAAAGGATTTGGAGACTTGTTCTGAAAGTTTCGTCATGTCACTTTGCCAACTGAAGTGTCCGTACATAGGATTCGGTGAGAAATCATGAAAAAAGCACTTAGCCGAGATGGGAGAGATGTATGGATTGTATCTTCTCGACCTGTTTGGAAATTTTGACCGTTGTTGCAGATGGTGCTGGTGCCTCTCAAACTGGCTGATGGGCGGCGGGAAGTCCAGGTCCGAGCAAGTTTGTAACACGTCAAAAAGGAGAAGCCGTCAATTTCTGCTTACTTCGAAAGCAATGTCGTGAGCTGGCTTTAATTACAGGGGAATAAAAAGAGTAGTTGACAATGAAAAGCAGTGTCAAAAGTCTTTGAATTATGAATTGACACTACTGTGACAAACGGAAAGGCAGACATGTGGACGTAAATGTCAATGCGAAAGCTATTCGAAGATCTGAGGACGCAGCTGTCATGGATGGTGCCAAGATGAGGAAGGGGTTGTGGCTTAGGGAGGCTGACCAGGATGCCTCGCCCTTCTGTACTGGGGCCGCGAATCTTGTCGGTCAAAAAGAACAAAGCAGTTCGCAACTATTATTGTCTACCTAAATAATCGACCTTGAGAATTGGATCGCCGACGCTTCGAAGACTGAGATATATTCACGTTAAAGCGTGCAGCGTATACCACATCAATCGAACCCAGAAGTCATTGAGACGACCGCCTTGCAACGCCTCGCGGCAGCTAAAATCCGATACCCGGAAGACCACATCTTCATTTCACAACAACATATTCGAATACCTTCCGCATCACCGCCAGCTTTTGATGGGTTGGTGACTACAACTCGCGATCAGCGCGCTCCCCGGATATCCTCCCCTCAATACCTGAATCGACATCGAGATGCGATTCTCCTCATATACCGCTGGGCAATCATGCTCAGTGGCTGGCTCGAGGATAGTTACGATATGGGGTCTACTATCAATGTCCTTGATGCTATCCACTAGCTGGGCTGCAGACAAGACTGCAGCAGATTATTTCGTACATTCGCTGCCAGGTGCTCCCGATGGACCGTTACTTAAAATGCATGCTGGGTAAGTTACTGCGATGTATCACCTTGGAAAGAACGTCGCTGATGTTATCTGCCACAGACACGTTGAAGTTACCCCAGAGCATGGCGGCAACATGTTCTTTTGGCACTGGCAGAACAGGCATATCGCAAATAAGCAGCGCACTGTAATATGGCTGAACGGCGGGCCAGGTTGTAGTTCTGAGGATGGAGCTTTGATGGAAGTCGGCCCTTATCGGGTGAGGGACGAATCGCATGGCCCAAACCTCGAATACAACCCAGGCTCCTGGGACGAATTTGCCAATCTTATGTTTGTAGACAACCCGGTGGGCACAGGCTATAGTTATGTCAACAGCGACAGCTATGTCCATGAGCTTCCTGAAATGGCGGCACAGTTCGTCAAGTTCTTGGAAAAGTGGTTTGCGATATTCCCTGAGTACGAACACGATGATGTATGTATTGGAGTGCCTTGGGTATTTTACCTCGATACAGTACTAACAGATCTCAGTTATACCTTGCCGGCGAATCTTATGCTGGCCAGCACATTCCATACATTGCAAAAGCAATCCTTGACAGGAACAAAGCTGGTGCAGCGCACCCATGGCAGCTGAAAGGAATGCTAATTGGAAATGGTTGGATTGCTCCGGAAGAGCAATACAAGGCATACTTGTCATACGCCTATGAGAAAGGCATTGTCCAGCGTGATAGTGCCCTTGCGAAACGACTCGAATCTCAGCAGGCCATCTGCTTGGCAGCACTCGATGAGGAGGGCGGACGAGACCGTGTTGATTTGGCAAAGTGCGAGCAGGTGCTCCAGGACATTCTGCGAGAAACACAGATCAAGGGTCCTGATGGCCAGATGCAATGTTTGAACATGTACGATGTCAGACTGAGGGACTCTTACCCGAGTTGTGGAATGAACTGGCCACCGGATCTTAGCAATGTGACGCCTTACCTTCGTCGCAAGGACGTGACGCAGGCGCTTCATCTCGATGCCGGCAAAAACACTGGATGGACTGAGTGCAACGGTGCTGTGGGAGGTGCTTTTAGAGCAAGCACATCCAAACCATCCATTCAGATCTTGCCCGATTTAATTGCGGAGGTTCCGACTGTTCTTTTCTCTGGAGCGGAAGATCTGATTTGCAATCACATTGGAACCGAAGAATTGATCAACAACATGCAATGGAACGGCGGAAAAGGGTTTGAACTCTCGCCCGGTACTTGGGCTCCTCGTCGCAATTGGGAGTTTGAAGGAGAGCAAGCTGGGTTTTACCAAGAAGCCCGGAACTTGACCTACGTTTTGTTTTATAATTCATCTCATATGGTGCCGTTCGACTATGCTCGACGAACAAGAGATATGCTTGACCGTTTCCTAGGTGTCGATATTGCTAGCATAGGCGGCGAGCCTACCGATAGTCGAATTGACGGCGAAAAGGGTCTCGAGACATCAGTCGGTGGTCATCCTAACAGCACTGCTGCTCAGGAAGCTGCGCAAGTTAAGATTGACGAGGCCAAGTGGCATGCGTATTATAAGTCTGGAGAAGTTGTATTGGTTCTTGTCATCATAGCGGCTGCGGGCTGGGGATATTTTGTCTGGAGAGATCGTAGAAAACGGGCAGGGTATAAAGGCGTTTTTGGCGGAGAGTCTTCGCTATCACTTGGTGGCTCTCGTGGGGGCGGTCGCGGTCTAGACAACCTCAGATCCAAAAGAACGGGACGCGATGTTGAAGCGGCGGATTTTGATGAGAGTGAGCTCGACGAATTGCATGTTCGCACTCCTACGCATGACATGGAACAAGATAGATATAGCATCGGTAGCGACGACGAAGAAGGCGGGGAGAAGCCTGGGAACGGTCACGCTATCAAGAAGAAGAACGGATTGTAGTAGTACATTCGCTCGCTATTTACAAAGGAAGAGCTACAGCATGGGCTTTGTACTACTTTATGGCGTTTTTATAAACCCTGGTTAAAACATCAGGGACTAGTTTGAAAATAAGACTTACACTTTCTTATATTCTGTGCACATTGCTGGTTCCTGAAAATTTAGACATGATAGCAAGATTGTGATATTTCAACTGGGGTGTTGAGAATCCAACTTGTTCTCAAATGACCCTTTCTATTTAGATTCCCAACCTATTGTGGTATTTCGCTGATAGAACAAATAAACCTGAACGCCTTCCGCCATCGATTCTTGCTTCGTTAATGAAATATGCATTTGGTACATGATATTGGCTTTTATTCTCCTAACCCAGAAATGTGGCCGGTTTCCCCATAGATAAACATACCGATTACTCTATCGCTTTTTCACACTTGGTCTTGGTTTGCACTCTTCACCATTCACCGGATGCATCATAACCTTATTCGGATACTGGGGAGTGTTACTTGCGTAGCCTTTACTCCAGTCATAACTGACGGCATAAGCAAAGATGGTCCCATCGTGATTGAAAGCTGTGGCTGAGATACGTCCCCCCCGTCGTCGGGTAGCCCTTTAGCCTGTGTTTCGCGATTCCATCCCAGAAATGAAATGTGCCGTCTGAGCCTGCTGTACTGAAAGTGCCGTGAATTGGGTGATATGATATTGCGTTCACCGAGTAAACGTTCGTCATGTTATTCTGTGGTGGGTCACGGTGGCATTTAAATGAGAAATTGGAGCTGTGATATTTGATTAGTAAACACGAACGAGCGCCAGAAGAACACGCTTACCTAGAATCCTTTTCCTCAACGTACTGAATGGCACATCGACCCTCAATACTTCCAACAGCAAAACCAGTAGCATCCGGAAAACAGCTGACTACTCTCGTCTGCCATTTCAGAGGACTCTGCAAGGTTTTGTAAATTTTAGACGGATCGCTCAGGTTTACAATGTTGATATATCGATCAGCAGTCCCCACAACTAATAGGTTTTTTTGCACATCCATCGTATAAACTCGCTCCTGACACTGGATCGTGCCGACTGGTGTCGAAGCACGCAAGTCCCAGTATTTGATAGTCTTGTCCCATGAACCAGTCACAATCATCGGCGCATTGGCAGATTCGTGCGTGAAGTAACGGACGCATCGAATAGGCTGATCGTGTACAGCAACTTGTGTTGCGACAGTTGTATTTCCAGAACCCAAATCCATCAGTCTTGCAGCTTTGTCCGCGCCCGCTGAAACCACGTTCTTCCCGTCCTAGCTTGAATTAGCATGAGTTTGCCATTTGTGCGGGACAAAGTAACCTACAGGCGACCAGTGGCAGCTCAAAGACGGGCCCTCATGTTCATATAGCGCCTTACCTTCGCTGCCTCCACTTGCATTAATCTCGTATATCCTGACTTTATTATCCCAGGATGTTAGCGCCAAATGGTTGCTGACTGGAGAGAAGCAAAGATCCGAGATGCTGTCTTGAGGAGGTTGGGTGAGAGCTACATCCTTCGAAAGGTCGCCCAAAGTGTTTGCCTGGGAAGTGCTGCTGGATCCGAAAAGACCAGACATTGTGCCTTTTTACAAATTCGAATTATTGAGAGGTGATTTATGTACTTGCGTAGGTAGCGATCCGTAGAGACAGTGCATATGACCTCGGTGGTTGTCTTTCAGAGGAGCAACAACTCTTTCAAAGAATGTCGAGGTCGCGCCGAAAGCAGTAGCTCGCTGTTGCGAAATAATCCTTGTCGCGTTCCATGCACGTGCCATGGTGGCTTCTGCTTTAGCGCCACTCGCTTAACCAGAGCTACAATAGAAAATTCTCAGTTTCCGACTTTTCTTCCTCAACTTCTCGCTCAAAGAATCGCATTCAAAGCTCACAAACGGAAACATCTTTTCGAAGGTCTTTCACCAGCAATGGTCACTCGCGCTTTGGGAGAAAGTCCCCGGACAACCTTCCTTTGAGAAGGACTGCGGAAACGCGCCGCCATAGAAGCACTTTGCGGCTTACTCCTATTATCAATTCTCTCTCTTTCCTCCATCCTTACACCGTCTGTACCGCCTGTCTACCGAAGCAGTGAACGATGGTCGAACCATGGAGACCATACGGACGATGATATGAGTCTGAGCTCCTTGTGTAAAACCTTCGGGATCTGTGGAGGTGGATTCGTGGGAGTTGTTGGGTCTGTTCTTGGGTAGAGAGGGATGTCTTGGTAACTGGAATCATTTTCGTCGAGATCGATAGTTATTGCGATTGCTTCTTCTTTGGTTGAAGTAACTCGATGGGGCTCATTCTTGATGCGAGAAGTTCCCGTCCTTTTGGGCCCATAGCTTATTGAAAAGCGGACACTGCTTCTCCCGATTGGAAACCAAATTCTAGACTTTTCTTCACGGAAAAGTCATTCTGGTTGGGAGAAGTACAGTTTCAGAAGCTCTGTCGTAGGAGCTGGGCTAGAGACTTTTTTCGAGATGATGATTACCAAATAGAGTCAAGCACTGAAGTAAGCCGTGTAAAAAGCGGTTTTACACTTGTTGACACATTATTGCGTTATGGTATCTGATTGAATTCAACGTCCAGTGGAGTTGAATAAGAAGTCTGTCAAATTTCCTGAGTTGGGCGGTTTTTGTTGTGGAGATTATTGCGCCTGGGTATAAGTGGGGCAAACTGCTGGTTCGAACCGAAAAATACCCGAAGAAAACTCGATTTTCACAATAACTCAGTGGATACCTACCTACATAGATAGCTTACCTATGAGGTAAGCACTTTAGCTTTCTGTTAAGCCTACCAAGTTGCAACATACGAAACTACTTTTGGCGAGATTCATCTCTCAAATGCGTGTTGTTTTTCGAATTCACGTGTGTTTGAATTCAAATGTTACCTTAAATGGGGCTGTTCCAACTTTGCAGTCCCGATGGGGCCACTAGGGTTTTCTAAATTCCGTATTATAATATGTGTCATTATGATAAATTACAAGCTAGTAATAGGTGTTGAAAACATAGACAATGCAAAGCTCCGCAATCAGTCCCAACCCATTTGTATCATGCCCAGTTGTCGTCCATGGACCATGTCAACCATACACGCCTCTCTAACGCCTTCCTAAAATGTAAATAAATAGTACAATGTGAACATCACATCAGTCCGCCGAGTACCACCCGACCGACATTCCCAACCTCTAGTTTGACACCTGCCCTACTACTATCTTCAAATTCTTTCACCACGCCCTGCACAATAATCTTCCTGACTCTTGCGTCCGCCTTGGTAAACATTTCTGCCATTGCAGGATTGCATTCTTTCGGGGAAGGTACCAGACTCATAAGTTTGGTGTAACAATCAATCAGGACATCGCACAGTGTCGCAAATGTCTCGTAGAAATCCGGATCAAATGGTAATGATGGTGTTAGTAGATATATATATTCTTCTCCCGGTAGTAAATCTGTCTCTCCCAGAAAGGCACTGGCAGCTCCTGTTCCTCCCGTTGTTGACCCCGTTCCAGTCGATTTCGAGTCGAATGAATCATTGCCCATGGGAAGTCCAATGTCTGCTGCCGAGCTTGTCCGTCGACCTTTATTCGTCCCTGTTGCGCGCTTGAACATTTGTGGGAATCGTCCCCGCGACAGTGAAGAGGAGCCATCGGCCGGATGTATCTGTTGGTAGGCTTCAAACTCGGCAAGGAGGGCATTAAGAGTCTTCAGGAACTCGAATGGGTTCGAGCCATTGAGGTCGATAATCGTGGGGAGCGAGAGACCGAGTAGGAGATAGTTTGTTGCTCGCCTGGCGAGTTTACGTGAATCAAAATATGGCATGCGTTGTAAATCGGGTTTGTTAAATAATAATGTGTTGAACCAATAGACTCGTCCTTCGTGCCTGGTAGGAGTTAGTGACAATCCCTGCAAGTGGAACGGGTGTATCTTTACGCTTTTCTTAAATAATCTAATGTTGAAATCCTTTTCGATGATGTCTCTTGTATGTGCTGATAAGTTATATTCTCTAACGTCGGACTTGCCGGTTGCATCGGTTGATATGGAGTCGCCCCATTTGAGCCACCACTTCCCTGATAAGACGTTCCTGGGCGGACCAGCATATTCGAAAATGGAGTTGTTGATGTATATGAGTCTGCGCCGGCAGAGACAGGCGAGTTAGTTAGGTCAGTCGCAAGCTGGGTGAAGCTATCCCCCGATTTGAGCTGCTGTTCATGCTCCTGCGCGTTCACAGCACCGTCCGCAGCGGAACCTGAACCTCTCAATAGGGGAGCTGTCGAATTGGCGCGTTTCTCTGGAGAGAGGGTGGGAAAGGTGCTGGAGGTGTTGTTGCGCCCTCGATGCACCAAGCCGGATGTTTTTGGTGATTTGGTTGTGAAGGAGGCTTTACGACCAACAAAGGTCGAAGCCCTTGAAGACGGCTGATGATTCGATTCGATTTGCGGATTGGGAGAACCACCACTTGTGCTCGGCCTCGTGGTAGAGGCTGGCGTTTTGCTCCCTCCAAAGATATTTCCTCTTGAAAATAGACCTCCCCCATTCGAAAAGCCGGAGTGCTGCATCTCGGCTCTGGGCACGGCCAGGGGTCGTTGCTCCCCACCTGGGCACCCAGACATGCGACTTGGGCTCACGGCAGTCGTTCCAACCCTTTCACAAAACTCAATGCAGTGTAGGATGCCGCGTGGAGCAGCCCGAATGGCAAACGGAAAGATGGGAGTATTTTAAAAGAGCTCATCCAGGGTCGAAAAGGCAGGAAATAAGAAATACACCCCCTTCTGCCGTTGGAAAGCACCTCTCGTCTGCACAAGCGCTAAATGCAAAGAGTCGCCGTGGGATTGGACGTTACGCTTTTAAGTCACCAAGACAGAGGGACGAGGTACATGTGCGATCGAAGGCCACGGGAGGGTCACCATGATATATACCTACCTAGGTAAGGTATGTAGCTTTGTATTAAGCAGGATCCCAACGCCATATCATCCTTCGACACAATATCCTTCACCTCCTTCCTCTCTCGCGTTCCAGATTCTGCCACTGAGCGAGGATGGGGTTGTATGGTACGTACGGACGCAATGCATGGCTACTTGGGCATGCTCTTCCTGAAGCAGAGAAAGCGCCAACTGGGTAGGGAATGATTGGATTCCAACTCGTCAGTTCTAACACACACCGAGGTGACTGACGGCTTCGTGGTTTCCGGACACAATGATGTACGGGGGCACAGTAGACCCGATCGGCGACCTTCAGTCTACAGATCTGTCGCTTCTCTGCAGCACGAGTACTGTACTCTGTACTTCCTTGGGACACCGAGCTGCTGGGTCGACAAGACTGACTGCCGGGCGTTTACTTGGGTACTTGGGTACTTGGGTAATTCTCAGCCTGTGCTGTTACGACGTGACTGCTCGGCCCGTGGACTGTGTACCAGTACGAGGACATTTCGGCATCAAAGGTTCGTTTCGTTCGGTACGAGTTTAGCAGTTTCAGGGGCTTGGGGTCCACGGGTGACGACGCGAATCTTGATAGGCGACTGATTGTTACCCCTCCATCGCAGACCCAGATTAATTATCTGATGGCGACCAACGACAAGACAAACAAAACGGCAACATTTCAAAATATCTATGTCGGCAGGGTATTCTCAGCTTCGTCGTCAACGTTCAACGCAAATCCACCATGAGTGCCAACACAATAGAAAAAGACGGCCCTTTCGGTGAACCCGCACCTGAGGTCCTCGATGGCAGAATCTGGGTTGATGGCTGCTGGGACTTTTTCCACCATGGTATGGAACTCCCGCGCTTTGCAACATCCCACTAATCGCAACTCAGGACACGCGGGCGCAATGCTCCAGGCGCGACAATTAGGCACAGAACTCGTCGTTGGTATACACTCTGACGAAGCAATTCTGGAAAACAAGGGGCCTACAGTGATGACTTTGGAAGAACGGTAAACACAAAAGCGTCTGGTGCTTCGGTCCGCTGATTCCTGATCAAGAATCGCCGCTGTCGATGCCTGTCGATGGGTCACTCAATCGGTGCCATATGCCCCATACGTTACGTCCTTACCTTGGATATCTCATTACGGCTGCAAATACGTCGTTCATGGCGACGACATCACGTCTGACAGCAGTGGAGAAGATTGTTACCGCTACGTCAAAGCAGCTGGCCGGTTCAAAGTAGTGAAGAGGACGCCCAGTATCTCCACGACCGATCTCGTTGGTAGGATGTTACTGTGTACTCGGACTCACTTTATCAAGTCTTTTTCCAAGCTTCTAGCCGGTGACGAGGGATCTGGCACACCCGAAGAGCGAAAAGAAGAGGGCGCTGTCATGAGGCAAAGGTTAAAGCTTTATGCGTCGGATTCTACTGGACTAGGTGAGGGACTGAGCGTTTGGTTTTGGACAGCATCGATAGCTGCCCGAGAAGACCATACAGAAGAAGAAAAGGGAGCCTTCGACCAGCTATGTACTGGGAACGCGCCTCAACCCGGTCAGCGAGTCGTCTACGTCGATGGGGGCTTCGATCTCTTTTCCTCGGGCCACATCGAATTTCTCCGCAAGGTTATTGAAGCAGAGGAGAAAATTGGTCGTGATGAAGGCTGGTACAGCGAGCAGAATGTGCAAGAGAGAGTTGGGAAAGGATCTGACTATGGACCGGTGTTTGTTATTGCAGGGGTTCATGACGACGAAGTGATCAATCATTGGAAGGGCGTCAACTATCCTATAATGAACATCTACGAGCGGGGTCTATGCGTTCTGCAATGCAAGGTACGCTCCGATGTCGCTGTCCGATAGCTGGGCTAATTGCAACAGTACATCAATTCGGTGATCTTTGGGGCGCCTTTTACCCCGACTCGTTCTTACCTTACCTTCACACCATGGGGTACCCCAGATGCAGTCTATCATGGACCTACTAGCTTCATGCCGCTCACCTACGATCCGTATACTGCGCCCAAAGAGATGGGAATATACAAGGAGATTGGACAGCACGCCTACGCAGGGGTCAATGCTGGTGAAATTGTTCAGCGGATCATGAAGAGTCGTGATCTGTATGAGGAGAGACAGAGGATCAAAGGCGCCAAAGCCATTGATGAAAATGCGCATAAGTTACGTGAACAGCTAGAAGAGGAGCAGAAGCTGAAGGAGAGCTCGGCGTGAACGTGTCAGCTATTAACGGAATGGTGGGCGTTTCAACTGCTACAATGTCTTTGGCGTTCAACACGTTGAAGAAATACCCAGATTATTTAGACATATAGTAAAAGTTTGGTCAGTCGCCGATGGATATTAGAAAATGAGCAACGATCTTAATCATCCAACCACCAACATCTCCCGTGGTCCACAATACGTGATTCGAGTACTGTGATGATCTTTAGTCCATCTGGTTGGATAATAAAGGGAAAAGGGCAGGTTTGACATCATGGTCCGCGAGTACTGCAGCACCGAATGCAACGACATTCGGATCTCGTCGATTTGAGTAGAGAAACGCGAACATCATGTTCAGACGTAACCCTACAAATAGATAATTCCAAAATACGGTGTCTTTTTGATGGCTGAAAATTAAAAAATTTCACCTACGTCAGGGGAGCTCAATTGAGCAGAAGCCCTTCTGTGATGTCTTTCTTTGAAGTTTCTTCAGACTGTAGTGAGTGGGTTATGCTTGAATATCTACTCGTTATGGAGGGGTTGGTCGCAGGGGAGGGGTCGCCATAGATAGGCGAGCGAGATAGGTAAGGTAGCAAACGTCAGGTGGTACGGCTACCGTCGGATGGCAGCGGTGAAATTTCCGTCGTTGTCTTTTTCAGCCTCTTTCATTGTTTTCTCCCACTAAGAACCCGACTCCCGACGACGTTTGCACCGTGCTGGCCAGTTAGCAAACTCGAATTATGTCCGACCAAGTCAACTCATGCTCACATGACGAATCTTCTTCCAGCGACTGGCGTATCACAAACAGTGTTTGCCTCTTTCAGCAGCGCAGCTTGCCCTCTGGCCTCCCCTGTTTGGACAAACAAACGCTTTCCGAGCCTAGGTAGGCCGTGGCGTAGCCTGCGTCCGAACGTGGAGGGCGTAAGCGTACAGTATGTAAAATTCATCGAAATCAGTCCCAAATTGCCCCATATAGTATGACATCGTTCATGCAAGCAATAATAATGCTCTGCAAAATCTGTGAACCGCATGGATGTGGATATGGCTATCTCCCACATACGTCTAGTGCCCGCTGTTACCCTTCTTCCGCACCTTCCATTTAGACACTTGCAAGTTCCACCCTACGCGGTCCCAAGCAATTCACTAGGCGAGAAAAAACGTGTTGATACGCTGGCCAGAATTCTCTGACTCAACTTTGGGATATAAAGGTCTTCTGACATCTCCTTCCTCTTTCTGGATATCTTACTAGTTCACTTTTGTTACGTTTTGGCCAGGAAATTCTTTCTTCTGCCCATTACTGACTCCCCTCTTCTTTCAACTACACCCGATCTTTGTTCAAATAGCAACATATCAATCAGTTAAACATCCACAGGCGATTTGCTAATTTCAATACGCAATGGCCCCATCCGCAATCACCCCTCCACACGCACATGGCGTTCAGCAAACTACTGAGCTCACAGCCGAAGCTGTTGCCCAGAAGATTGCTCAAACTGCCCCAGGAATTGCCAAAGCCAATGGCCTCCAAACCACTCCCGAGACCACTCTTGCGCCGCTTGATGCATCTAAACTCGTCTTCACCCGAACGAAAACACCTATGACTGTTCCTGAGCCGGGAGATCCTATTATCGCAACTGCTTCGCAATGTACCGATCACATGGTGACTGCGGTCTGGAAAGCCGGAGTGGGATGGGCTGCACCTGAATTGAGGCCATATGGCAACCTGTCTCTTGCTCCTACTGCTTCTTGCCTCCACTATGCTACTGAGTGTTTCGAGGGAATGAAGATGTACAGAGGTTGGGATGGTAAGCTGAGGTTGTTCAGGCCTGACTGCAACGCACGACGGATGGTGAGCGTCCATGGATTAGATATCTCTTCATAGTGATAGGTGGCTAATTTACTCTTAGTTGATTTCGTCTACACGTATTTCTCTCCCGGGCTTCGACCCTAAAGAGGTTGAGAAGTTGATCATGGCATTGGTCTCGGTTGACGGCGAGAAGTGGTTGCCAAAGTCCCGTCCTGGAACCCAACTTTACCTTCGACCAACAATGATCGGTTCCGCCGGTGCCCTTGGTGTATCAGCTCCTAAAGAAGCGACCTTCTTCGTTATCGCAACCTTCGTAAGTAGCCTGTCTATTCTGAGTTTACTATTTCCTAACAGTCGTCAGATGCCCAAACTCGAGCAGCCAAAGGGTCTCCGTCTCCTAGCATCAACAGACGGTATTCGTGCGTGGCCAGGAGGTTTTGGATATGCCAAAGTAGGTGCAAACTACGGCCCAACCTTGATGGCTACCAGAGCCGCCGCAGAACGTGGATACCACCAAATTCTCTGGCTCCTCGATGGTCAAGTCACCGAAGCCGGCGCATCTAACCTCTTCGTGGTCTGGCGCACCAAGGAAGGAAAAGCTCAAGTTATCACCGCACCACTGGACGACAAGATTATCCTCGATGGTGTGACTCGAAGGTCGATTTTGCAACTAGCGAGAGAGAGACTTACTGATGGCTCATCTGGACTCGAAGCTGTTGAGATTGTGGAGAGAAAGTTCAGTATGGATGAGGTCCACGAGGCTGTTAAGGAGGGCCGTGTAATTGAAGCATTCGCAGCTGGAACTGCGTTCTTCGTTTCCCCCGTCTCTTGTATTGGATACAGAGAGGAGGATCTCACCATCCCTATGACCCGTGAGGATAGCGGAGAATATGCTCATCTGATCAAGACATGGTTGATGAACATCATGTATGGAAAGGAGAACCACGAGTGGGGAGTTGTCGTAGAAGAGAAGCAAGAGCTATAGAAGTAGATGACGGGAGATTTTCTTTTTACAAGCGATAGACTGGTCGGATACGGCGTTGGGAGAAGTGCATTTCAAGGGGCTTTTTTGTCAATACCATAGCTTGCCGAAAACTAATCAAGAGCGAGAGCGAAATACCGAAAATTCCAATTCCCATATTACACTGCAGGTGAAGGAGATTTTGGTTGTGATAGTGTTGTGCAAAAGAGAGAATGAAGAGGGAACGCTAAGCTATTATAATTCCGCCATGTATGCCCTAATCCGGTTGGGGTTTGGTCTATTTCTCCAAGCATTAATGATAGCCATTACATTACGTGTTGTTCCTGGACTTTTTATCAGCAATGTATCTACGCACGAAGTACCGCACTTCTTTTGTCCACATACCATGATTCCGTCCAGGTGATGCTAAATATTGGTCCTTCTCGACAAGAACGCAGAGGTCTTCGCATACTATACACCCAAGATTATCTGGTTCCACAATATCGTGTCGTAATTTGATATCCTTCTACTAATCCGTACATAACTGTTTCGAGAATTGTACCATTCGACATGACTCAGTAATCGGCTTGCGCAATAGATGCCAACATCTTCGCTTGTTCTCTTTTGATCATTATCTCGAGCTCCTGTCCCCCAAGTCAGCGTAACTCAATCGCATATGTTTAAAACGCACCTTTTCTGAACTCTTCATCTTCTGCAAATCCGCCTTACTTAGATCCTCGATCTCTTCCTTCAACTCCTGAACAGTAGTTGAAAATTCCCCATCAATCAACTCCATCTCCATTTTAAACCCTTTTCGCTTCCCTTTGACCAATTCCGCCGCCTCTCCGAACTTCTCTGGCCCAAACACCTCAACACCTTGTTCCAGATACTCATTCTGTAGATCATCCCATTGTTTCCAGAGCTCCTTCAATTTCGCAGATTCGATTTCGACAATAGTACCAAATTCCGTCGTGCGTTGGCCCATATTCACAATGGCTGTAATGCACTTTCCGTTTTTCTTCGTTATGGTTTCGACTTCTTCTTCGGCGAGAGGTGCTCCAAGCGTCGTGAGGTATTCATTCGTAGCTTCACGGAAATTTTCGTCCTCGGCGTGGGATCTGGCGATTTCGGTTTTGAAGTGTCCATGGGTTGTGGAAAGTGCCGTAGCCAGTTGATCCGATATGGAAGTTCGCGCTTGGTCGATGCCATCTACGAGATTTTAGTTCGATTGTTCATGAACAATATCTCCATAACCTTGAAACTTACCAAGTAGCGTATCCATCATACCAGGTTCTGGTGTGGGTTCCTTGCGTTTCTTTCCACTTCGCACAGCTGGCTTGGCATGTTTCCTGAAAAGTCCTGCGACTGATACTGTCTTTGGTTCATGCGTCCGCTTCAGAGCCGACTTTTTGACTTTATCCTGAACTATGTGTTGAACATTAGACTTTGTTTTGGGTCTTCTTTCCAAAGCTCGATTCAGTAAATCGATCGCGATGGGCGTATCGTTGACCGATTTCTTGGTTTTGACATTGAAGTCGACCAACCGACGAATCTCCGGCTTCTGTTTTGCCATTTCGATACCTAGGCGGGTATTAAGTATGTTGCACTGTTCTTTGGTTCGTGAGGACGAAATGTCGATGGTGAAGTGACGGAAGTCGCGTCGTTTGAAAAAATACGCGAGGACTTGATAGAAGCCAAATGTAGCAAGAACAACATCTGCGGGACAGAACGTAGCGATCTTCCTCTTTGCCTTAATTCTACGCCACGCAGATTATGCATTCTCTCTCTAAACTGACCACTGTATAGGCTTTCGCTGTAAGTATTTGCAAGTGGCATCTCGTACTTTGCGCAATCGATCGTTTTGGTTCTCGGTCAAATTTTGGAATGGGAGATGTGTGTTCTTTACGATTAAAGATGCTTATGTGTATAATGCATATAGCATCATTGACGAGGACGGCTAGTTTTTAGGTTTGTGAGAACGAAATGCGGTGCCGGGAGCGGATGGGAGTTTAAATACCATTTTGCAACATCTTTGTTGACTGACTCTATGTAACCGTGAAATCCTCCCAGAACATCTTGAATCAATTCGGAATCTTTGTATGCACCGGTAGAAATTTAAAGCGGATTTCCCACTCAAAGTGTGTTCAATTTCAGTGTCTACAAGAGTGCTACAACCAGCCTCACATGTCAAAGTGAGGGTGGTCTTATTATTGGGTCTTGTTGCCCGTCATGCTTAACTGAAAGAATCTCGGGTTGGGACCAGAATCAAAATCAATGTTCACGCCTTATCGAAAGTTAGGAGAGAATGTTGTTGAAAGTGAAGTATTCCCCGAAAGGTTTTATTGCATGTCGACATTTCTATCCTGAAGCTATTATAGTCAGAATCCAATATTAAGTGTAGTACACTTCTGTATAATATACTACGCTAGTACCCCAATAACGTCATAATACATCTGCAGTACGTTAGTTTCCTTTATATAAGAATTGCGACATGCAACAAAAATTTCTTGCGCTGGTTCGCCCAGCTGTTCATTCACCTTCGAATCTCGCTTAATTGAGAGCCTCCTTTTTGTGTACTACGGTCGTAAGTAAGTGAGTGACAACCTCTACCTTCGCCGGATAAACGGAATTTTCTGCTCGAGTTGCAGAAAAATATCATGACTGAACTTTAGGTTCTGTTCGCCTAGGTATACCTTAATGATTTTAGTATATAACAAAAACGAGGTTCCGGCTAGTAATCTACTAGTAGTTACCTATTATTATTACTTAGAAGATCGGAATACAAGATATTTCTACCGGCTTTATTAGTCATATATCGTAATCTATGATCTATGAGAAGATTTGTACTTGAGTTATTTTCGCTTTCTAGTAATATCTAGAAGTCAAAACGCTTTTGAATATACTCCAGTGCAACAAAGGGTATCCCAATTCCAAGATAATTATGAATTTGTAGGTAACATGGGAAGGCACAGCCCTATGCAAAGTTTCATGAAGATTGTCTTTAAAAAGAAAAAGAAAGAAAATAGCAAAAGTTCAATGCTACATTAGAAATGTTAACCTAGTGTCTAAACAGAAATTCCTTTTACTTTTTTAGGTTATTACTGGCCCTGCGACATTAGATGTCTGCTTCCACCAGTATCTGTCAATTTGAGTGACATAAGTCTTTTGGCGATATTGTATTTAACGAGTGTTTATCAACCTAACACTCTTGTTTCGCCGTATATGGCGTTGGTGGAGAAATATCTTTTACAACCAACAGATCCCAAACGGAATGTCGAATCTGATTGGCGTTTCAGCACCTGTCAAGACTAAATTATAAAGCATGTAAGAATTCTCATACTGAATAGTTGGCATCAGGGTGAATGGTAATGATAAGTTGCCGATAGGTAGGCCGAGGAGTTTGTCTGGACTGGCTTGACATCAAGCGATCATCACCCATGCATCTATTGAACTGATGGTCGTGGATGCTCAGAGACATAATCAAGAGATAAAATGTGGCTCGAGGTGGCCACTGTTAGATATTGCCACAGCTGTATATTTCCAACGTCTACCACAATAGACACGTGCACATCTGGAGCCAAATTACAATGCTTCATTTCCAGAATTACTGAAATTTCCTAGAAATTCCTTTTGGGTATCTTACTGCCTGAGTGCGTCTCAAATCATAACTCCAAACCCCAATACCCCTCCAACATCCGTTCAAATGACACTCCGTATCAAAACCTCTAGAAATATCATAGTCCCAACCTTTCTTCAATGGTTGTCACAATATCAGTCCACTCCTTCATGGCCCCATCCCCAACATCCCCACAAGCCAGTTCCTTCTCCTTGGGCCCCAAAACCTCAAACCAACCCTCCTCGCTCTTCCCCAACCCCCATTCATCCTCAAGTATTCGAATCTGCTTTCTCGTAACCGGATGTCTCCACATCGCCGTGTTCATTGCCGGCGCAACAACTATCCTCTTTCTCTTTCTCTCATTAACGCTTTTAGCCTCTACCAAGCCCGTAGTGTCCCACGCCCGAACCACACTAGTCAAGATGTTATCACTAAACCCGCCTGTGATCTTCGCGAGAGTGTTTGCGCTTAACGGCGCAATCACCATTATATCCGCCCATCTTCTCAGCTCAATGTGCAAAATAGGGTTCCCGCGAACCCAGGGGATGTTCCATTCGTCTTCGTCATGGAATGTAGCAAAGAGGTTTGGGGACGAGAGGGGAAGCTCTGGTTGTTCGTGAGACTGGCCGCGAAGAAAGGCGGAAGCGGATTTGGTAAGGAGGAGGATTATAGAGAGATTCTCGTGATGAGCTAGAGCGCCAAGGATGTTTGGGATTTTGATTGTTGCTACTGAGCCGGATGCTGCGAGGAGGACATGGGCTCTCCTGTCGTTGGCGTGGTCTGAAGCTTTAAAGGGTGGTTGCATTTGATTTTGGACCCGACTCTTTGTGGGTTCGCTGAAAGTGTTTGACAACATCTTTCAAGCTGATTGATGGCCCAACAAGTCTGGGTATTCAGGGAGGGCGTTGGGGAATCATAACTGCAAAATATCATACAATCTAGGAAGCGTGATGTTGTTAGAGAAGTCCCTCGGTACATCTCCAGCATATTTCAGCCTTGCAACAAATTACTCATCGCCGATTGGTCAACCTTAAAAAGTCACCCAATATTCCATGATCACATCACCAACATTTCTCTCGTCACCTCACAATCACAACAAGCAAATATGATCGCAAGACCCTTTATAACATCGGTAAACGTCTCGAATGCCCCAAGTAAATGAGAGACTAATTCAAATCCAGGCGCTCCGCCAAACCGCCAGACCAACCTTCTCCAAACTTCCCACCCGATTCGCCCCAATCGCCTCACGATGGCTCTCTCAAGAAACCCGCTCCGCAATCGACAAAGCAGTTGCTAGCGCCCCGGTGGTTTTATTCATGAAGGGTACACCAGAGACACCTCAGTGCGGGTTTTCTCGAGCGACGATTCAGATTCTGGGATTGCAGGGCGTGGATCCGGCGAAGTTTAGTGCGTTTAATGTGCTTGAGGATGAGGCTTTGAGACAAGGTATACAAATCTCCCAGAGTGGCAGTTGTGGAAGGGAATGGGAAGATGTTAGGAGTAAACGAAGCTAACAAGCTGGCAGGTATCAAGGAATACTCCGAATGGCCTACGATACCACAATTATATCTCGATAAGGAATTTGTGGGTGGATGCGATATCTTGGTCAGCATGCATCAGAATGGGGAGTTGGCGAAGATGTTGGAGGAAAAGAAAGTATTAGCACCGGCCGAGGACACGCCTGCTTCGGAATAAAGAGGAAAACAAATTTGTTTGTATGATATCAGGGAAATTGTATTATGGTATTGTAGGTATAGTCGTATATTATCCAATTCTCAACTACTCAAGCAGCGGAATTGCTTCTGGGTCTTTGCGCAGGCCTTTTCTACACAATCTTCTCAGTACACTATGCTTCCAACCCGATCCCATTCTCTCTACCCCTCCAGATTCCGAAATATCAACAGCCCAACTTACACCCAAACGACCAATCGATCTTACACAAGCTCGTCCACATCCAAATATCAAAGGCATTTCTTCGATGGACACTTTCTCACTCCCATGCCCTTTCTCTTTGAGAGAAGCGACTGTCATGAAGACTGCTATGATATCTTTCTTCCACCATGAATAGTTGCTTATGGTAGTCGCCTTTTGGATATGAACAGTGAGCTTATAGCCGAATTCCAGGTTACGAATGGTTACGGATCTAGCGAAAACTTAGTGTCCTATGTTTCTATCGTGAGTGGTATAACAAACCTCTGCGCACCCTCACTCGCCAAAGCCATGTTAATGACTTCCAGTACATCTTTTCTGAACTCCTTATTTCCAATCCCAAGCAAAACCGCACAGCCATCACTCAAAGCCCTCGGATCTATACGCGGTACTGCGTGACAAAGATGGAGTGAAGTGCGTTTAGCCACCGAGATCCTAGCTGAATAGTTGTCTAATTTTTGTGCTCTGCGAAGGATTAGCTGTGCTACCTTGAGTAGGTGTGTGGATTAATAAATACTTTAGAAGCGAGAGGAAGTCTGAAGTTGGAAGTGAGCGATCGGTCGATAATGAATTTTGACCTTTGTCCAAGGACCTAGAATTAAACACAACAGCTGGCGCCATCTTGAATCTCTATTTGCCTCTCAAATCTAAATTGTCGTAATAAAAATAACTTGCAAGCAAGACTCGAGAAGATAAGTAATAGTATTCTCAACACACATGTATTATCTCCTAGCCAGCAGGAATCATGAATCCATAAACAAAGAACGAACAGTTAAAACACTCAGACATTAAGCACAGTAACAGTTCTTTGTTCCCTCGTGTCACCGAGTCCCTATATAACTATTAGACAAAAGAGTCACATAACCGCCTTGCCCTTCTAAGATCCATCACACGCGACAAACATTTCCTAATCCGGAAAGACATCGATTTCAAAACCAAGAGAGCGAATCTACTGGGAACTATGAAGCGCGCGCTTGTGTGAAAATCAAGCGGTCCCGGTGAGTTGGTTGAGATGTGAATATTGTGTGGTGTGTTGGGCTGTTGGCTAGATGTTGGTGTTTGAAGAGAGTGGATACCTCGATGTTGGCTTGGCTGGTATGGGTAATGAGGTATATCTGGGATGGAGAAATAGCTGAAAATCTCGGGACATTATTGAAGAGAAGCCGAGACGTGTCTTGTGTGAGAAGATTAGTCGTAGCATCACAATCCACCAACAATCACATTCACAGTCAGAAGATCCCGATGAGCATTGCCCAAAAATATCACAAGCCAACTCACGAAATCATGCTTGTGGAATAGAATGTATTCAAGTGTGTACCATATGGTATTGCACCAGGTGCAATCACTAAGGTCTAATATTTACAGAGAAGTGTTATTTTCAAGAAAGATTTGAAAATGCCCATGCAAACCCCTTCTATCCCAAATTGGGAACCACTGTGCTCCTGGCACCCAAGATCATCTGACCATGTGAGATCTTGATTTTTACACCCGATGCTTGAATGCCTCCCATTTTCGTTAAATGTCATGTCTAGTCAAAAGAAAATCGTTAAGTCGGCTTGCGACGGTAGCTAATCCTGGGAGATCGACTCATAGGATGTGTGTAGATGTTGAAGGATCTAGTTGAACCACCATGACATCTCCGCGTGTCCAATGGTCAAATAATCGTCGGCCAACGCGCCGAAAGCGGCGTGGGATAGATCAAGAGACATGCCGTCACAGCCCGGGCATTTGTCAAATACATATGCATTGACAGTCTTGCCGTTGTACGAGATGGTGACGCCCTTGTTGCAGTATGGGTTGTTGTTGGGGTTGGCACCTTCCTTCTGCTCCATGAGACCCTTGGCCATTGCGACAATCGGAACCTTGGTGCCATCCACATCCTTTCCACAAGACCCAGTTCCAACAGTGTCGTAGTAGGTTGATTTACCAGTGCAAGGGCTGGCTTGGGTACATTGACCTCCAGAAACAGTAGCTCCACCTCGGTCACCAAGAAGAGCGCCGGCTCCTGAGCCAGAGGATGGTGAATTAGCGGCTGGGGCAGCTGAAGTTGCAGCTGGTGCAACGGCGGTCGTTGAGACTGGAGACGGAACTGGGGCCGCTTCATTAACTGGAGGAGCTTGTGGTGCATTAACGACTGGAGGAACGGACACAACTGGCGCAACACTTGCGACAGCTGAAGTGACCAAGGTGGTCGCTGAAGGAGGTGGTGGTAGAGGATCCGATTTTGGAGTAGGCGCTACAGAGACGGAAGTGGAGGATGGTTGCTGCTTCCCCTGCTCGAAGAAGTTTGCATCGAGTGGAGATGGGTTGGCAGCGGCAGTAGTAGGGGCAGGTTTGACTTCAGGAGTTGGAGCAGCTTCACCCTCTGTAACCCAGATCGTAGTAGTAACGCCGATGGTGGTGGTGGTAGATTCGTACATGGTGACGATCACCACCGGAGGCTCGGCCTTTTTGACATGATGCTTTTGATGTTGGTGACCGTGAGGTTGAGCGATGGCGGCGGTTGCGAACAATGCGCCAGCAGCGAAGATTGCAGATTTCATGATGAAAGTGGTCGAGAGACTTTGTTGATGTTCTAGAAAGAAAGGTCGCAAAGCAAATTCTTGAATAAATAGTGCAGCGAGGCGGGATCGGTCTTTGTCTTTGTTTGTGTGTGATATGTCTGCCTCAAGCGACTATGATTTGGGAAGCTCAATGATGTGTTTACGAGGTTGAGTGGAAATGACGGTGATGAGTGGTGAGAAGTGTTATCTCGGTGAAAGGAATGTGTTGAAGAAATCTAGCCTTCAAGAGAAAGAATGTGTTGTGATGGAAAACAAAACGAAACAAAAGTCGGCCAGACAAAGCGAGCGGGCTGGTCTTTGAAGGTTCGCAGGAGCGGGCGAGTGTGCGAGCTGCAAGGTTTCCAGCGGCGGAATGCCAGGATCTCCCTGGCCCTTATCCATTATCGATCCATTATCGGTGGTTCCTGGGCTAGCCGAACGGGTGATAGCTTGCTATTCTGGGGCGCGGTGGCTTGGCAGGTCAGGAACGCGAGAGGGCCTGTCACGCCTTTCTCAAGCGGGTTGGTTGGAAGTGAGCCCCCAGGCCTAGTCGGGCTTTTCTTGTGGTTCCCCTGTGGTTCTCCAGGGCTCCCTGTGAGTGATTTTTCTTGCTGCAGTCATCACTTTTCCTCCTACATGCGCGGGAGTCATGTACTTGTATGGCTAAAGGAGTTGATCATCCACGCTTCCTCCTACTCATGTTCGCACGGCATACCTAGGTATGGAGTACAAACGAAATGGTCGGCAGGACATATGCGCAGAGCAGGAGTCAATTGGTACGAAGCAAGCACTCACACTCACAGCGACCGAGTCTGTTACGAGACAGCTGGACATCTGCGCATAGGTAAGGTACCGTTCGTACCTATTCACTCCGCCACGCTGAGGTCTCAATCCAGCCCTGAGCCCGACCTGGAGCAGCCAAGCGCTCCAGCAAACGAGCGTCGGGAGCGGAGAGCGGAACAAAGTTGACGATCCGGCAGTGGAGAGAGTGAGAGAGTGAGAGAGTGAGAGAGTGAGAGAGT